GTATCATAATGTTGTAATGTTCTAATTTTTAATTAAAAGCTAATTAATAATAATAATAAATAATAATAATAATAACAAATATTTATATAGCACCAATTCAAAAATTTATCAAAGGCACTAGGTGGGGAAATAAATCAGGTTAACGTTCCAATAATAGATAAGTTTTAAGATTTTTTTTAAAAAGAAAGCAAATTAGACAAATCGCGAACAAAAAGCGGCAAGGAATTCCATGTAAAGGGGGCTTGAAAAGAAAAAGCACTTTGACCATAAGATTTGATTTACCTTTACGAGATGGAACTGTCAAGAAATTTTGAGATGAAGAACGAAGATGACGAAGAGGAATTATATTTGGAAAGGTGATTGAGTAAAATAAACAGGTTGATGAAAGCTAAGTGACTTGAAAGTCAACAAAAATAACTTGAAAATAGCACGTTAATATATCTATTAACAGATTTATAATAATTTATTTTTTAATTTGTAAACCCAAGTACTGTGACCCTATTAACTAACTTAACAACTAGAGTAGGAAGCAATTAATAATTCATTGAACTTTAAAGTAAGGCTTAATGGATATCCTGATAGTCTAGGGTCTGGAAAAGTGCGCAACTGCACAAATGCCAATCAGCACAAAGAACTGCCTCAAAGTCGTTTTTAGGGGATTACAATTTTTTTAAGAAATGATTTTTGGATTTTTTTTCTTTTATTTTTCACACAACCCTTTTGTGTTTTATAGGGATTTGGATTAAAAGAAAAAAGAAAAAAAAAGAGATATTTTATAGGGATTTGGATTAAATGAAAAAAGAAAAAAAGAGATATTTTATAGGGATTTGGATTAAAAGAAAAAAGAAAAAAAAGAGATATTTTATAGGGATTTGGATTAAAAGAAAATAGAAAAAAAAAAGAGATATTTTATAGGGATTTGGATTAAAAGAAAAAAGAAAAAAAAGAGATATTTTATAGGGATTTGGATTAAAAGAAAAAAGAAAAAAAATAGATATTTTATAGGGATTTGATTTAAAAGAAAAAAGGAAAAAAAGAGATATTTTATAGGGATTTGGATAAAAGAAAAAAGAAAAAAATGTTTATTTCTTTGAGTACACCAGGCCATTTATTAGCTTAGTGTTGGAGGAATTTTATAATATATATATTTATATAATTTTCATTGTCGGTGGCACAATCATTTTCCTCCAGGTCTGTGGTCTACTACTAGAATAAAAAAAAAAGGATAAAAAAAGATTTTTTATTTCTTTGCTCTAGGCAGTCACAGTTGGGCTGCAGTTAGGGTTAGGGTGCACAAATGCAATTTGGTGTTAGAGGCATTTTATAAAGATAATTTTCATGGTTGGAGGCACAAACGTTTTCCTCCAGGCCTTGATCTACTAGTATAATAAAAAACAAAAGGATGGAAAAGGATTATTTCTTGGCTCTAGCAGTCACAGTTGGGCTACAGTAGGCCTACAGAATTGTGCACACATAGAATTTGGTGTTGAAGGCATTTTATATTAATTTACATTAATTTCCTCTATGTTTGCAGTCTGCTACAAACATTTTTTTAAAATGGGAAAAAAGATTTGTTATTTCTTTTCTTCAGGCCCGTCACTGTTGGGCTACAGATTGCAAAAATAGAATTTGGTGTTGAAAGCATTTTATAAAGATAATTTAGTTTATAATATTTTTTTTTTTGTAGTTTACTACTGAATTAAAAAAAAAGGGGAGAAATATTGTTTATTTCTTTGTTCCACGTCAGTCGCTGTTGGGCTACGGTCATAATAGTGCAAAAATAGAATTTGGTGGAAGCATTGCAAAAATATAATTTGGTGGAAGCATTTTATAAAGATATTTTTCGTGGTCGGTGACACATACATTTTCCTCTAGGTCTGTAGTCTACTAAACTACTGAATTAAAAAAAAGGGGAAAAAAGATTTGTTATTTCTTTGCTCCAGGCCAGTCGCTGTTTCACTATAGTATTATAGAGCAAAAATAGAATTCAATGTTGGAAGCATTTTATAAAGATACTTTTGATGGCCGGAAGCATTTTCCTCCAGGTCTGCGGTCAACTACTAAAATAAAAAAGGGGAAAAACGATTTTTTTGCATTAGGCAGTCACGGTTACAGTGACAATAATAGAGCAAAAATGGAATTTGGTGTTTGAAGCATTTTGATGGTCGGGGGTCTACTACTAATGAATAAACACCAGCCCTTTAAGCTTCGAATGATGCATTCACAGTAGAATATCATTAGACTTTAATGTGCTTCCTTCATTGAAGTGTCTGTCTGGAGCTCATTACTAATGAATGATAAACTAAATATTTTAATTTTGTATTTATGCAATTTAGCTTTGAATTGTAGTATAATTGAAATAAAAATTCCTCACTAATAAAAACTAAAAGACAAGATGCATTCAGTATTCTTTGGAATAATTGGCTGGTAGACAGTTTAAAGGATTTTCAATGAAAAAAAATCCACAAACCAGCAAAAACTGTGTCTCATAATATACATAAACTCTTTTTACAAATTTGTAGAATTTAAAACAATTAGCATTATTATCAGACCGTAAGCAGAATCCTGGAGCTTTCCTAGAGGCGCCAAGGAGGCTTTGCACCTAGGCACCAGGGGAAGAGTTCATGTGGGGGACAGAAGACAAATATCCGTAGTAGAGCTGAAGCCTATGAAGGTGATTAATCCATCATCATTTTGATGTTTTTTTTAATGCAAGGATGGAGGGAAATTCAGTTTAGAGAGTTTAGTCGAAAACGGGGTCTGGCCCAACCATAGACACAACCTGTTAATAATACGGGCCTGAGTGTACAGATTTTGATAAAATCTAATGAGTGCTGGACATCTGATCCTTGTATTTAATTAAGCAACGAATGTTTTAAAGGTTTTTCTAGATTTTGTCGGACAGTATCTTTAATTATCTGATCCACTGTATTACTTGCATGCAACATTGAACTTCTCGTATTATCTATAGTTCAGTGCCTTCATGCATAAGTAACCTTTAATGTTCGCTGTACTGGATTTGACTTTCTAGGAATAACGAAGCTCCAATATTCATTACTGTCCCTCGATACAGTACTGTCTATAAATAAATACATATTATTAAAAGGTATTTCCACTATAAAGCAATTGCGTATGATTATTTAATATGTATCTATCACATGAATAAATTTTAATTATAATAACAGTATAGTACAAGTTAATAAATCCAGTCATTGTTTTAAAATAATGATTCCTTACATACCCTGGAGTACAGAAGCTTAATGCATGTACAGTACTGTGTATCAACTTTCATTATTTTTTTTATTTCAGTAATGCAGGCATAAACTACCAATGTACTATACAGTAATTTTTTTAAACAATGAATGTAATTTACTATATTATACCTTGTTTTGCAAACTTAGTTTTTTTTTAAAGATCGTCAGAAGAGGGTGGAAACAAATAAAAAATAAACTTTTATTGGTGAATGTAAACAGTATGTAATTGGATGGATAAATGCTTTAAATAGGAATAAATATATCTTATTTCAAGGCAGTGGTGGGCATAATACAATTTAAGAAAAAACTTATATTTTTTTCTTAAATTACCATTTTTTGGTGATGGAGTGTGTGCTAATTAGCCAAAAATTAAATTTTCTTTTTTTTTAAATCATCATTATTGTTGGGCAGCGGGTTTGCTAAAAGCAAAGTTTAAAAAATGTCTTGACTGATAGTCAGTAAAATTTAGATTGTAAAATCATGTAGTACTTAATAATTTAGATGTTGGTCTTCTCATCTTAGGGTACTTGTTTCAAACCCAGTGAGACTAAAAATCTCTGTCAACAAACTGCACTTTTTTTTCTTTTTTTTCTTTTTTTTCTTTTTTTTTTGTCAGGTCTGCATTTATAACTTGGGGGCAACTGTCTCGACTATTCTTAAAAATAAATATAATTAAAAAATGCAAAAAAACTGTCATTTGAAAGTGGAAATGACGCCATGAGTAGTTCTGTGAGATGGATATGTACACCTTATAAGATGAAATTATTATGAAATTAAAACAACTCAATTCCCAAAAGCCTCGTAAAGCTGTATATTAACATAACGATTAACTTTTGTTTAATAAAATATTTATTTGCAAACTAATATTCTGTTGTAGGTCAGAGGTTTACGTAATTGATTAAACCTGTCAGTCAGGCTATTTGTGTGCTAATTTATAATACGGCATTTAATGTCATATGTCTAAGTAAATTTTTAATTATTTTTTTTTTACATTACTTGCCTCTATCTTGTAAAATAGTCACCATTTCTAATGAGTTGTGCACATGATGGTACTGTAATCTACTCTAAATATAATGTTAATTAGAGGTGAATTGGGATGCAAAAATTTGCCCCATGATTTTTTATGAATGAAGGACCATAGTTCCAAGTGTACATGATTATGTCAAAGGTCAAGTCATATACAGTACCCAATACTAGACTGTTTGCATTTTTTAGATTTTTTTGAATTGTTAGTTTTTGTTTTTTTAATCTCTCCTGTAGAAGGCACTGTAAACATACAAATAGATTAAAGTGGTGTTAATGATATTTTTGCACTGTCAGTATACTGTATGCCTCACGTTCAACATAGCATTTGATAAATACGATACCTGCCAGAATTACCTGATGGGCTAAAGTTGTCTTATGGGGTCTCTCATGATAATTTCTGTTGGAACTGACACAGTGTAGGCCCAGTAGCTAACGCCTACAAAAGTGTGCAACTTTTTAGAGATGTTCTGACACATTTGGTGTGCATTATGCCCAAATGTTGCTGTAATTTCTAGAAAATTTCTCATCTTTTGATCAAGTGGGGAGGGTCATTTAATCATGTCTACTACTCTATACTTAATTCTATTTCACTGGCAGCCACTTTGACTGTAATGAATTATGATTTAAAGATTTATTTATAAATTGATTTCAATATAATGTTTTTTTCGTTAATCAAATACTGTTGTCATTGATCTTAATATCTATTTATTTTTTCTACAGAAATAATGGAACCTTAAAATGATCCACACTTCCATCGTCATTTGACATCATGACATCACCGCCTAAGAAAGGTAGCGAGTCGTTTGCTGAAGTTACTGTCATCGATTCACAGTATAACCATTTCCGTGACTATGTAGACATCATTCGCGTTTACAAATGCAAACTCTGCCCATTTTGCAGCCCTCTCGAACATGTCATTACAAGCCATATGTCAGAGGTGCACTTCCCGCGACGATGCTTCCTTTGCAAGCAGTGTCTTTTCGTCTTTGAAAGTCGGGAACAGCTGATTGAGCACATCGAAGCAGGACACGGTTTGCAGTCATTGAACTTCAGCTTTGGCGAACCGACTTCTCACTGTAGCCAGACACAAGCACCACGTCTGGGCAGTACTGTTCAAGGTGAGGAGAGGTCAGGAAGGAAGGCGTTGGATGATGGGGGCGTTAATGGCCAATCGGTAACCTCAAGTACAAGTAATCTTGCTAACATTCCAGATGATCCTGCCTCAAATCAGCCAAATCAAAAAGTAAGTTTAGAACTATTAAATTAGCATAGAGAAAGCCAAGGTGGACAGGCTTATGGGTAGGCATATTAGCGAGATTTGATTTACATGATGATGTGACACTAGAACAGGTTTACTCAACCGTGAACGTTCTGTGTTCTCTGCAACTCAATGTTCTCGCATGCGCAGATGACTTATGTGATGTCATTACGTTCTTCTGTACGTCCTACCATTGTTATGCAATTGAAATAGTTCCCTATTCTCAGACAATGCCCCATATTATAACTTATTGAAAAAAAAACACCTTGAATTTTTTTAAACATGCAAATTTACACTGTTTTTTAAAATTAATTTTATTCAATTTCCAGAAAAAAATAGAAAGAAAATAAACAAAATTACAATACCTGTGGATGACCAAAAATTAAACAGTTCAAAGAATTGAACACTGTCTACGGATTTCCCAACAAATAGTACATACAGTGAAAAACACACACACAAAAAAAAAAAAAAAAAAAAAACCCAGAAAAAATATGTGGAAGCTTTTGATTACAAAATCTCTTCTAAACTTTCAAAAATTGTACTAAGCTTTATCATGAACATCGCAAGGAATATGTTCCGAAATTCATGGAAAATTGTTTGGTGGCACTATCAAGATAATATACCTGCTGTCTGTTATCAGAATCTATTTTGATAGTTTACAATACTGCTCTTGATTACAAACAGTGGTCTGTATATACAGTATTATTACGCTTCTTGGAATTAACCATGAATTGTGGCAATCGGTAAACATAAGATTGGGCTATTCTGTTTTGTTCAAATATTTTGATAGTGTTTAGCACAATGGTAATAAATATCAATACAATTCAGTTCACTTTATTTGATAATCACCTCCAACAAAAAGGTATGTCAAACAATAGACACAATACAAACAATGAAAATGAAAAGAGAAAAAGAGAGAACCAATGTAAAAGTTTATAACAAGAAAACCTGATTCACAGGCGATGGACAGAACCAAGTAACTAGATCCTTGTCTTCAGGTTGAATGAAGTCTCAAGAGCAGTATGCCTTTTAAATGCAGATGTAACAAATTCATTAACAGGTTTGATGATGACATATTCACCAGAACCCATAATGAAAAGAAATTTTTCTACCCTTGACATATGTTCGAAGTTTTGATTAATATTCAATTTCGGTGAAAAGCTTGTTTCTAACATCGTAAATGGGGCAGCAAATTATAAAATGAAATTTATCTTCAAGTCTTAATAGAGACATTAAAAAAAAAACAATGTAAAAATAATTTTTTTTTGCTGATTTACAAACTTAATATAAAATTTCGCCATTGAAATTTCATGAATATAGAATTGTGGTTTTTTTTTTTTACGTTCCTATTAATTAGCGGATGAATGATGTTTGTACCATAACTTGAAAATCTATGGATTTGAGGATGATGTAATTTGTGATTCTATTCAACCTACTATTCTGAAATCAGTGATATAATTAGCAAAACATTTCCATAGAAACATATGATCATTTACAATAAAACTACAATACAGTACATGCTGTTCTTATGCAATCATGGTCATTTGATAATTATCATAATTACTTAATTTTAAATTTCATTCTCATCCTACAGTGAAGGATTCACCACCTACAGCAGGATATGTCCAACTATCTAATCAACATCGTTATTATTTACGCATGACGTTTTGCGACATAGCACATTTTAACAAGTTTCAGAGCAATTTTTACTTAATCTAAAAATGTTTTAAACTACACTTTTTTTTTTATAAGAACCAGTAAAATTTTGCCGAGGCTCAGTGTTCTTATTTTTTGGCCGATTTCAGGCTCAAAATGTTCTTAATTTTTTCTTATTTTACACACTTTTCAAACATAGAAAATTATTATTGTACAGCAAAAATGGGCCCTGAAAAAAATGCCCTGGAAAATTTGCCCCAGAAAAAAGGCCTGGTAAAAATTGCCCCAAATGACAGTAGGCCTACACCCAATTATAGGGGGTATTACATAGTCTCACCTACATTACTGCACATAAGGTACAGATATAATTTTTTTTGGTTTTTCAAAAACCTCATTTGCCATTTTACCTCAGCCTTAATTTGTTCTTATTTTGTTCTTAATTTTAAGCAATTTCAGCCTCAGTGTTCTTATAAAATGTGTTCTTATAAAAAAAAAAAAAAAAGTGTAATGGAAGATATGAAGCCAGATTGATTATTCAACATTTATTTCTTTTGGGTTTATTTAAAGGAAGCGGCCTACAAAATGATGCGGCCCATAAAATGATACTATATAAAGTGTGATATACCGTACCGTACAAAATTTTAGCCTTATTTATCGATGAGTACTATTTATTATATTGACAAATAATAATTTGCATTTTCTTTTTAAATTATTGAAATTAATTTATGAGATGAAAGAATCTAATCATTATTACTCAGGTTAATGCTAATCATTTTTTAGTTATTTTTAGCTTTTATTGTGGCATTTATAAAATCAAAATATGCATATATGCTTATTTTCTTATTTTTTGGCTGATTTCAGGCTCAAAATGTTCTTAATTTGTTCTTATTTTACACACTTTTCAAACATAGAAAATTATTATTGTACAGCAAAAATGGGCCCTGAAAAAAATGCCCTGGAAAATTTGCCCCAGAAAAAAGGCCTGGTAAAAATTGCCCCAAATGACAGTAGGCCTACACCCAATTATAGGGGGTATTACATAGTCTCACCTACATTACTGCACATAAGGTACAGATATAATTTTTTTTGGTTTTTCAAAAACCTCATTTGCCATTTTACCTCAGCCTTAATTTGTTCTTATTTTGTTCTTAATTTTAAGCAATTTCAGCCTCAGTGTTCTTATAAAATGTGTTCTTATAAAAAAAAAAAAAAAAGTGTAATGGAAGATATAAAGCCAGATTGATTTGTTCTTAGGCATTCTGATTTATTATTTAAACAATAACAATGCAGCATTGCATTGAATTGCATCAAACCACCAAAAAGATAAGCTGAATACAAAAATAACATTCAAATATTAAAGAACAACAATAAACAATCATATTATTATTTATTTATATCATATAGTGGCTTTTCTTTGCAGATACAAAGCGCTTCTTTTCCCTGGTCATTGCCGTCCGCATGCTTTTAAGTGTTGCTGCTAGTAAACAGCACAGGAGCAGGCAACACCACCAGGTACTCATTTATACCAGTGGGTGGAGAGAAGCAAGGCATATAAAGTGCCTTGCTCAAGGACATAAGCGAAAATGTATAGCGAGGGATTGAAATTCCAACTTCGAGGCTGCGCAGTATTAATAAAAATTACTTATACAAAGATTAACATTCTCTGGATTTGAACCTGGAATCCTGGTATTGGATGGCTAGCATCTTTAGCACTATAAAGCTACATCATACTGTACTGTACAATGTACTGTATGCCACAGTGATCTGTTAGTGGAAATTACAAACTTATAGGCTAAATAAATTGTTTCTGGCATGGTCCAATTCAGATCTTACTAACCAACAATCTTTAAACTCCAGACCAGCCCTGACTTCCAAGTTTTCACTGTGGCTTGGACAACACAAATTTTTTGCATTGTGCTTGTGTTGGATCCCAAATGAAAAATACTTTTTTTAGTTTTGTTTGTACACTTGTGCAGTATACATTGCCTCGTACTGTACAAAGTAAACTCTGTCATCACAATTAAACCTAAACCGCGTCATGTATACCATTCAGTAGTGATTCTATGCATTTAATAGAAAACACAATACTTATACAGGCATAAGCAAGGTTAATGCAATAAGGGACTTCCCCTTATTTTTTTACTGGCATTACATCACCAGCTGCAAACTCTATATAATGAATGACTGAGGTCAAATGTAATGAAACATTTATAAATTGAATTACCAAATTAAAGTTGTATATGGAGAAATACCTCACCACACTTAAATTTGAATTGTCACTATTAAAACACCATTAAATTTTTACAGATTCTGTACTTTGAAGAAGGTGAACCTCTTTATTGAAAATACAGATTCAACAAATCATGTACTGTATGACTACCTCCAGTTCACTAATGCCTATGCTGTAAATGAGTGGTTTTTATATCTTATTCCCAAACCTCCCACCTACTAATGATGGTTATTTCAATTAAAAGTGAACTTTTTTGTTATTATTCATGTTCATGGATATGTTTTTTTCTAAATTATGCCCACTCTACTGTTTCCATGAAATCTGTAAAATCTTCCGATTTCTTCCTGACAGTATAGATCATTTATCCAGGGTGGTAGCCAGGATTGCCGTTTTGATGGTGCCGGGATGGACCATCTGGGGTCAGGGGAAAGAGCCGGTTGGATTGCAGCTTTGAATTTTGAATACTTTAAGCAATTTGAATTCACATACTAGCCTAATGATAAATTGCTGGTTAAAATGTAAAGATTTAAAATTTCCTTTTAATCTTTTTACGGAAAATTGTTTTTTATTTTTATTTTGTATTATATTTAATACTTGTTTTATTATCTCACAACAAAAAAACATCTGGTCTTTCATAAAGTTTACTAAACACAGAGGACCAAAGTGAATTTTTGATTTAACGCTGAGAACTGCACCCAAACTTTGATGTTTCCAGTGTGCTAATATGCACTGCTTTTTTTCCACTTTATGCTCAGTTTTAACATTACTTTTTACAGATAATCTGTGTTGGGCCATACAAAACAAGGGGTTTTCTAGCCAAAGATTGTTGGAGGGCCGCACACATAGCGATTTTAATATATTTTCGCGGGCCACAACAAAATCACAGTCAGGCCGCATGTGGCCTTCGAGCTGTGCTCTGCCCACCTAGCAGTATACCATCAACATATTGTGCTAATTGAATTTTTGTAATTCTTATTCAATTCATGATATAAATTATAATTATTATCTATTGTATTTTACCAATAATGATTTTTGTCTGTACATTTGTTTTTAAAAGTATTTTTGTTTTACTTTGTCTTTTCAGGATGATTTATCTGAAAGCCCTGGTCTCAGCAATGAAATTGTCCTACGGCGGCCACCTACAGTGTCACCAGAACCATCACCTGTATCACACACCTCATCTTCAAACTTGTGTACAAGCAGCAGCCAAGAGAGTCAAGGTAGGCATCATGATAAAACCAATTCTGGACAACTGATGGGCTTAGGCGTTCGTAAGATGTTGCAACGACGCCATAGCCTGGGCGGTAGTCTTCCTAACTCTGAACTGCGAGTGGGTTTCTTTAGCCAACCTTTTAAGGAAGAACCAATCAGCCCGGTGCTATGCTCAAAGACTAATGAATCTTTAACTGGAACCAACCAACAGGAGGTTCGACCTGTTATGAGGGATGTAACCCCGGCTGATAGTTTGGCAGACTCGAGTGAATCAAAGAAAAGGGATTCAATATCAAGGAACAGTGTGGTGTCTTGTCCGGAAGAAATGGATTTAAGATCAAAAGACTCTGAGCTTTCAATAGCTTTGCCACCTCAACGTGATGTGGCTGTAGTTCGTGGAATTCCATTCCGCCCAGAAACTGCAGAAAACGTTACAGTTAAACAGGAAAAAATGATATCCAGAGAGAACATGGAACTTGAATTAATAGAGAAAGGAAGTGGCTCACCATCTCTAGAGGATCAAAAAGAATCAAGTGATTCACCTGATTTAACATTTAATGAGACATTTTCAAGAGTGCAGGCACAGCCTGAGACTCTACCCACTCTTGAGCTTGGAGTACATCGAAGGTCAGACCCACGAACAGATCCGAAGCTTGACACAAGAACTGAGCCACATATATACCAAAGAGATAAGCCTCCTGCATCCTTAAGAGATATAGTTAGTCATGTCATGGAGAAACATCGTCATAATAATGTGGCTACAGGGCGACCAACTGAAAATCACATTAAGACTCCACCTCAAACCTCAGTTGAATTTCCAGGGAATACAGCTCCAGGAATTGAGTATCATGGGTCTACCAAGACTAGGCCTAGAAGCTACAGTATAACTGAAGGGGAAATTCCGAACTTCCATGATCATCAAGATGATTTGTTAGATAGTTCTAAAGAAGGATTAAGGAGTGATTTACATGGTCATCCGACTGACCATAAGCAGTATAGAGGTGGTCCACCTAATCCAAGAATGCCCCTCTGGTACCATTACCATCAGCAATCCCTGGAAAGAGAGCAAGGAAAGTATCCAAGGATGGTGCCTTGGGCGTATCCTGGACACTTCCCCGGAGGTAATCAATCGCAGAACTCTAGCATAGGTAAGATTACAGCACCACAGTCATCAGAAGAGTCTGTTCTGTATCGCTACTTGCGTAACCCTCATCCACACATGAAACGTAGAAGGAACTCTATTGGTGTTATGAACCCTGTGGAAGCAGCCAGGGTTGGACTACCTTGGCCCCCCCAGTTACCACCAAATGAAATGATTTCAAGATTTGTGCCTCCATCGCAGCCTCACATGCCATGGGGTGCAGTGCCAGGATACATGCAAGCATATGGACTTCCTCCAATGGGAGATAAAGTAAACTCTCCGAATTCAATCGCAAAACATGGAAGCCAGGTGTCACCAAATAGGTATGGAGAGTACTTAGCTGACATGGAGAGAAAGGAAGGCAACAAGTCTAATAACTCTGATCAGACCAGCAGTGAAGGAACACAGGACTTAGCTCAGGTGGATGACATCACTAGGCAAGTGAATAGTGCCATTAGGAGCACAGGAGGATTCTATGCCTCTGAACAAAATGGTGGAGAAGGAGATGATGGCAATCATGATTTTGATGGCGAAGACGACGAAAATCGATCAGATGATGGCCGTAAGCGTAGTCGAAAAAGCACATTCAATATATACCGTGAAATTCCAGAGCGGAAGCGAAAACTTGATCGAGTAGAAGAAGAAAAGATTAAAAAGAGTTACAATGCTGATGGAAGCTTTGATTATTTTACTCTGACTGGCTGGAAAGCCTACAAATGTGACTTGTGTAAGAAACGTCGATTCAAAACTGCATCTGAGCTAGAGGACCACAAACGACTGAAACATGGAAGTGATTTAAACCAGAACTCGCGTAAACTGGTCTTTCATTCAGTTCATGTGGAAGAGAATGATTTTGAGGAGTCAAGCTAAGAATTTTTAAACCAAACATTTTATGAAAAGAAAAAAATTTATGGAAAGGAAGTTTGAGAATTGAATACACAATAGAGGGCAGTATACAAATCTGTTATGATTGGCTGAATAGTAACCCAAAAAGACAAAGCAGGCAAGAGAAGGATTGCTTTTTTTTCTGAAGAATTTTCATAAATTACTGACATTTTGAAGTATATAATGGCTATACCTTGTAAATATGTAAATTGCTTCTGTAGATATATGTGAAGCTTTGTTTTGAGAGCAGTTTTTTTTTTCAAAGCAGCTGTTTGCCAATGTCTGCCATACCAAAAAAGAGGATTTTTTTCAATCCAAAGTTTTAAAAGTTTGTAAAATATTTTGAAAGGACTGTAAATTCACATATCGCTTTAATATTGTAGTACTGTACATTTTCGAGCATTTTTGCTTGAACAATTGAACAATATGTTTGTGTCGAAGTAGTCATGAAGTTATGAAGCCAGAGATTTTGAGAGATGAATGTTTTCAATGACAATTTTACGAAGGATTTATGAGTTGTACAATTAATTGCTAACAAGTGAGTTTATATATACAGTAGTTGGATTTGTTTTGATGATAAAATAAGCAAAACAAGAGAGTTGGAGAAGGGAGTCTAGGTGATGGCGATTTGTTTTCAAGGTACATACAATTACTTTAATGATAACTATTTAATGATGAAAATTTCATATAATAATAACATCATTTAGTGTTGATTTTGTCATAAAAAAGGGCTTTGCTTGTATTACCTAATTCAGATCAAAAATACACATTATTTCTGTAGTGTTGTTGTTTGGGACAAAAATCATTTAATATTTTGTGGACGTATTTACTGAACATAATGTCTAGTAACTGTACAATTAATTGTATTTTTGATTTATGTTTGAAAAAATTGGTGTACTGTACAATTAATAAAAATGCTGTGGGAATTGATAGAACTATAGTAAATACTTAGTTCTGTGGTTTGTCTGCTAGAAAATAAATTTGATTTAAACAGATGTAGGAAAAAGCAGTGAAGATGCAGGAGTGATAGTTTTTATGGTCATGACAGGAGTCCCTAGTTGGAAGAAGTCAATTCCAGGAGACACATAATAAATTTTATTTTGCTGCATATGGTGAACCATTGGCACTGACTTCCATGAGAAAATCGATAATTAGTTAATAAAAATTATGAATAATTAGTAAAAGGATGAAAATATTATGAATTTTCGGGAGATGGTTTATTTTCCGTTAGGTTCTTGCTTGCGTGCGGGCGTCCGTCCCGATTTTTGTGACACCAAACTTTCTGAAGACTTGGGACCCTTGTCTTGATAATAAGTATACAAGTAATTTTGGAATTGTTTTGTTCGTTGCCCACCTTGCATTTCTATAAATTATCTCTATTCCTATTTCTAAAATGGATTGAACAATTTCATAAAAGAGCCAATACTATGACTTTTGAAATCTCTGATTAGTTTTTAAACATCTTGTGTTCTTGCCTCGTTTAATGCATTGTATGGATACAAAAGATCTATGAATGAAAAGTCTGGCTTGTAGAGATACTGTACAATAAGTACAGTTTAAGGCTTTACTCTACGTGGAATTACTTACAAGTTTTCTGGTGATTAATGGTGTTTCATAAGGCTGTGGAATTTCAAAAGGGGCTAATTTTTATAAAAAGAAATATTGTATTAACGAATGAGAAGAACAATTACAGAATCTGTACAATTGCTTGCCAGGAAACTTGCAAGTCTAAGTTTGCATAAGGTATATCATGAATAAATTTCCAAAATTATATTTGACATTTTTTATGTTATTAAGCAACTGATTTATTTTGTTTATTTCTTAAAATGATTTGTTATTCTGAACCCAACAATCCACAAAATTCACTCCAAAATATTTTACAATGTTTTATGTGTTTGTACTGTACACTATACTTTTAATTAAAGGGTTGCACTAGGATTTGGCCGCTCCAGTGCCCCAAAGGTTGGCCAATTTCTGCGACAGATTTCCAATGTCCCCAAAGGCGAGCTGATCCCTCTGAATTTCAAAGGCAATATTTCATCCATTTTAGAGTCTACTGATACTGTATGTAAAAAATACATTATATACTGTACAGTTTTCTCTCTCCTCGACTAATCAGTGGAGGATCAAGAAATTCAAAATTTTGTATTTTTCTCCACATTTTAAAATAATTTTGAGCAATTTAGAGGGCTCGGGGCTGCTGGGCTTCACCTTCAATCCGCCACTGCTGAATTTTTTTTTCAGGCTCCGTCCTAAAGTTTTCTCTTGACTTTACCCCAAACTCGATTATTGTACACAGTTCTACGATAGTCCACATCTATTATGCATTATTTATTTGTTTATTAATATTTTTTTTTTTTTTACACTAAAAGAGAGATAAACACATTTAATTATACTGTAAGTTGACAGAGTGCACTAAGTTTAGGTATGGAATGCCAACAGATAAATATTGTCATACAATCATCATCATTGGCATCCCAGTCTTCAAAGACTATGCATCAGGCACCCATGGAGAGGGATATACATTATTTATAATTATTTTGTCATAAAATATGTAAAAAAAAATGAATTACAGATTCGGTAATTCAGAGAATGCATAATAAATTCAGCAGAAACTGGAACATTGAAATCTTTGACTTGAATACACCTCGCTATCAGTGAAAAAAAATCAATATCAGTGAACATAGATGTCTTATCCAAGAGTTATTTTAATGAAAAATCCACCCAATTTTTCACACTGTGGGATTAAGGGCTTAGTTACATCTGTGCTTCTAAATCCCATAAAACATCTGTAAAGGAGTATGATTTGTTCAATTTTATGTATTGTTAAATTTTCAATCATTGGTTTGTTTTTTTTTTTTTTTTTTGTTTTTTTTTTTGGATGATAAGTAATGGATTCCTGATTGATGTTGGTTGATCCTTAATGGCTGTTTTTTTTATATACCATACCTGTAGCTTCGGTTTGACCAAACTTAACCTACATTCACAAGCTTTTTACAGATCATTATTGATCTATCAGTATCTTGTCCACAGAGGTTATGCAGGTGTGGTGGATACATGGGGCCAAAGGAGCTAGGCCCTCTTCCCCCACAAAAAAAAATAAATAAATAAATTAAAAAAAAAAAAAAAAAAAGAGAAGCCCTGTATTCCAAAAAAACTACAGTAATTTTTATAGAAATTCCATTTCCATGTGCCAGTGTCTATGGTCGAAGATTATATAATTGCAAGAGATCCAACTACCCTGATTTTGTATGCACGCAATGAAAAGTTTTAAAAAGCACTAACACGAGATAGGGGGCGCCCTATTAGAATTCAAATAAAGTTCGAAACTCTCCTCTTGAAGGATGCTCTCCAGTTTGTGGTAGCACTTTTTGAAATAGGATTACGTTCCAACGAAGCCCCAATAGTCAGACCTCTTGCAGTTCTATATGCCTTGCTATGGTTAAGTATTTCTAAACAAAAATCTCAAACACCATCCCACACCCTCTCTCTCCCGCGCAGTACTTTGAACGTTGCTTGGCCCCTACCCACATTTTTCTTTGGATCCGTCCCAGCTCTGTATTACAATCAGTATTGATATTACAGATCTCTATAATTAAAAATGGTTTAATATAACGTATACCTCCAAATAGGACTTAATGATAATTATTCGTCTAATTAGAGTATCTTGTCTACAGGATACTCTGTATTCCAAACAGTTTTCATATTTCAGATCTCTCTAATTAAATATGCCATGTAGTTGTAGATCACCTCCAAATATAGACCACAGATAAGTGCCTATCCTTTGATTTTATGATAATTTTTTTTTTCTAATTAGAGCATTTTGACAACAGGATGCTCTGTATTCCAATCAGCTTTACTAATTACAGATCTTTCTAATTAAAAACACCTAAGTATAGACCACTTCCAATTAATATACACTCCGGCTAAATGCCTATCTTTACTTTATGAGGATTATTTTTTATTTAGAAACCAAATCTTTTAAAGACCATGTTAACCCCAGTCTCAAGTGTGATCAGTAATTAGACACACCAATGAGACATGATGTAATTATTTTCTGAATATATATAAAAAAAATATTAAAGATGATTTTTATTATATTTTTATTTAAATGTCTTTCATCTGGATCTTTATCCTAATACCTAATAGAAATGATTAAATTATCACCTTAAAATTCTTATAAAACTGATGAGGGAGGGATAAAACAAGTTTGATGGCTGCCAGCAAACGATGTCAGCTAAATCCATATATACAAAAAATGCAATTAATTGCACTAAATATGATTTTGGTATTATCAAAGACACCATTTCGGGTGTGCATAGACTGGAGTTCAGTACTATTGTATGTAACAGATTTGTCCAAAAAAAAGTACCAGTATAGAATTCCTGTTTTCGCAGTAAATAATCAGCGAAAACTATATAAATCTGATGAGGGAGGGATAGAAAATATTTGATGGCTGCCAGCAATTTAAAATCAGATAAAAACTGCATTTACCCATACAAAAAAATGCAAATATGGTATGTAACAGATTTGTCCAAACTTGTTTATATTTTAATTTCAAAGTACTAGAATTCCTTTTTTCACTGTAAAAATAAAATAAGGTCCAAGATTCCAAAAAAAAGTATGTAGGCAGAGGTGATAATTGAAAAAAAAATGTAGTCTATAAATACTATAGCGTGATCTTTAACACACTGTATTTTCCAACTACTTCACGCTGTTGAAATGATTACATACTCAAGAAGACCTTTGTGACATTTATGAAGATGAGTAAAAATTCTTCCAGGTTAATTTCTAATTTCCTATTATGCCATTATAATCAAACACCTTTATTATTTTTGCTGTCGAGAGATATCCAAACATTTAGTGAACACCTGTCGTGTATGGTAAATTTAATCTACCTGACACAAACTCCCAACTGTAACAGATGGACAAATATTATATATTCAGTTTACTGTTTGAATAAAATTTTTGATTCCACCATTGAATTGTGTTATACATGTTCTAGATATCATGTGTTGTTATTTCTGATTTGAGGTAGATTTAGGTTAACAACTAGTGGAATTAATTCAAAATTAACCTTTCCTAAAGGGCTTTACGTAGGTACCATTTGTACACCTCCGCATCATGCTTTGCTATAAAAGGTAAATGTGGCCGTAGATCGTAGATAAAAATTTGCCTGAGGCTCACCTGCCCACATTGTCAAACTTTTTTTGACAGAAATTTGTGATTTGCCCATATATGGATATAATATGACATCATGTGCATATATTATATGTCTGTGATGTGAGAAATTCACACAAATTTGTCATACTATAAAACTTCATTGTATGAATAAATCTTTAGATTAAATAGACATTTCTAAATTTGAATGTTACATTTTTAATGTTTATAATCACACCAGTGATAGCATCAGTTGGAGGAGGGGGTGGGGGGATGGTGGTGGGTGGCAGAAATTCACTCCCATGATCAGATAAACAAATTCAAAAAGAAATCACAATAAACTGGCAAATGTGGTTGTACTGACATCTGGTATTTTATGTATAACATAATGCATTAAGTTGGACAACATATAAAATCAACATTTGTGGTGAGATTTCTTGATTAAAGTAATTTGCCATCTTTTAATATATCAAGTATCATTTTCATAAAGTGGGCCTCGTGTCTGTCAGCCTAGCTGCAAGGCCAGCCCACTCTAAATGTAGTTATAAAATATAATATTTTTTTTTTTATAAAATAAATGAATTAAACTTCACAATGCTAAACCACAGTTACACTATGATGCTGTTAAACACAGAACCGTATTATCAAAACAATCTATGTTCTTTTATTTCATTTTCATTCATTTCATTTCATTTTTTTTATTCGACTATCATTTACAATTACAGTGACAATAAAATACAATATGTGAAAAAAAAAATTAATTAAAAAAATTAAAATGCTGGCCAGGGGTTTTCTTTTCATTATGATATATCCTGCAGTATAGTACTGTACTTTGACACTTAGTACTTTTACCCTCATCTCAGTTTTAAGTTAGATCCAGAAATTTTTCCATTGGGGTTTACTAAGCCCGACATTGGTCTGAGGTAAGGGGCTGTAACCAGATGGCCACTTAAATTGATAATTTTAATTCAAATACATCATACAATAAGGTGTTATCGCAAAATATACCAAACTCAGATGTTTCACTATCAGCGTTAAAGTTCTTAACTTGCATTATGTTAGTCTTTACTTTCATGCAGTTCAATTATCAGATGTACAGTAGCTCAGGAGTGTGTAATGTAATGTAGGTTTTGTCCTCTAAAAGAAAAATGTTGGGTGGGGTGGGGGAGGTGGGTGGGTACTGTATAATCCATTGTACATTGTGCAGTATCATTTATATTATGTACAACTACCTCCATACTCTGTGAATTGCTCTAAATGTTTGTAAACCTATTCAATGGTTGCCATAGTGTATGACTGAACAAATGCTAATTGCTAACATGGCAGTGAACAGTACCGAAATTCCATGTAAGTTATGTTTTTTAGTTAAGTGCATTTATTGAGAGATTTATGAAGTTACTAAAAGATTCATCATTCCAAAGGTCATCAGAATCGACCTTTATTTGTGACAATTTAATAATTGAGGTTTGGACCTTTGTGAGAATTATAATTTTTTGTTCTTTTTTTTTTTTTTAATTCTCTCAATGAAGGTGTGTACTAGTAATTGAGGTATGCTCTTTATTTGTGACAATAATAGTTATTTCTGTCTATTAAAGTTCTTTATCTGTTGTTACAATGCATATCTACTGACCTGTATAATTGCATGCATATATTTCGATCTCTGTCAGTCAGCATTAATTGGTTGACTGCTAGCGAGGCAATGCCAAGATATGCAGTGGCGTATGTAGGAAGTGTGCGTGGGTGCACACCCCCAGAAATGCTTGCAATCCCCAGTCACCCCCAAAAGTCATGCTCAAGTAGATAAAATCACCTCAAATCATCTTATTTTTTGAGCTAGCTCCCCTCAACTAATCATCGAGCCCCAATTCACTCATTCAGTTGCGCTTCGCACTACCCCCCTCCCTCCACATTCTGCTTTTGATTTTTTGTTTCATACATTGTAATTCATTTTATTATAATTGGAATCTACTTATATTATTTTTTTCCAATTGGAAAAAAACAATAGAATGTTTGTTACACATATATATTGAACCCAAAGAATTGACAAGAAATGATTAAAAATATATTAATAATGATTTTCAAGAATGGTATTACAGAATGCTACTAATGAATCAAATCTGTTTAAAAAGTTCTGTGGTTGGCAGGATATATTAATTTGTCCAAATGCCCATCAGTTTGTTTATTGTTATGTACAGGTGGATTGATATATGCAAATAAAGCTTGCTGTTTACAAGCAGTATGGTATTGATTTTTTTTGCCTTAATTTGATGTTTTCTCAGTACTCGCAATTAACTTATTTCATTAAGTGACAAGTTACCACAAAAACCAACTAACAAAATATTAACATGTGTTATGGTTATGGCATTTAATATAGCGCACAAAACTGCTTAGTTAAAAACTATGCATTATGTGTTTTTATATGTTCTATGATTAATTGTGTTTAGAATAATGTTTATATTCTATAATGATTTGGTAGATAATATATGGATTGGATTTATTCGTTGTAAACACCAAGGATAGCCCACGAAAGTCTAGAAGAAGACTTATTTCCAGTGGGGTCCTTCTGGGGGTGATTGGACAGTACACGGGGAGACAATCCCCTACTCTTTTCCGAAGAGTGTACTTTGTTCTTTAATGTGCACATGGGCCATAAATGCACACGGGACCAACGGCTTAAACGTCTCATCTGAAAGACGGTGTGCTATGTAACTTGTATTTCAGCCCTCTACAAGGAGAGGCAGCGATGGGAATTGAACCAGGAACCTAGAGATCTGCACGGTTCAGTGCACACACAGTGGCTACCACCAGATTAGCCGACTGAGCTAAAGCTGCTCTCTCTGAAGATAATACAGTTAAATTATCAAACTTCATAACTGTTGGCCAGAAAACTTAATTATTGATTTTCTCCACTGGAGTGTGTGTTGTGTCAAGTTTGCATGGGAACACATAACATAATGTACATTTACACACCTATCCAAATCTGAAAATAACAACACCACAACACAAATCCTATACATATGTTGGCAAAAACAAAATACACATATACGGTACACATACATACCCCTACGTACACCCCCATATACATATCTAAACACACAGCTGTAGAGGTTAAAATGATATTGTCTTGTGTCTTCTTAGATGAAATCCTGTGAGACACCATATTTTTACATACAACATTAGCTTTGTCCCCTAAACTCAGCTTGCTTTCGGCAACTGGCCAGCGATTAAGAGTTACTGAGCTGAGGTGATATGAGATTGAATGCAACTGACAAATTTACAGCTCTATTCAGTCCCAGTGCGTTGTACATGTTCTATTTCCTGCAAAGACAAGCGATTGAAATTAGTCGTGTGATCTATAGTAATACTAGTCTAACTGCATATGCAGCACACTGCTGATGGATTTAATTATATAGTAACATTGCACTGCAATGTTCTAAGTAAAAGGTCTAATGTTCTAGCTAAAAATGCCTACTGAGTGACAGAAAGCATTAGTTTTACATATAATTGCTTGCATCTATAAAATCTGAGCAATTTTGGGCCATTTTAATCTGTTATGTTTTCATTTTAACATTTTTGGTTTTTTTTTTCTTACCTTTGCAAATCGGGATTGGGCGCTATTAGAGGAGCTTTGATTGTTCACCTGTTGGCCTTTTAATTTTCCATCACCAGCAGACTTATCTCATAGTAAATATGTGTCAAATAAATAAAAATAAACAAAATAATTAGAAGTTTGATGACTGACAGGTAGCTTAGGCCCCTCCCCGTCTGGGACCTCCACCACAAAATGATATTTTTTGCAGTTGTTTGTTCAGATATCTGGGCACTTATGATTTTAATTGAAGGATATGACACAATGAGATAAATAATGTTAGATCTATAATTAGTTCCTTTGAAGATTTTAATCTGAGGTTTGAAGATCTCTATTGTCATCTTCATGTTAAGTGTGAATGCTTGAAAACCAGTGGTCCATACTCAAGTACATTGATGAGCAGACATTCGCATACAGAATTCACAACAGCATCTGGAGCAAAATGTGTTTATATCGCAATTGAGATCCTGCTTGGACTCCTTGCTGTGGTGAGTTTTTTTTTTAATCATTTGTGACACATACAATCTTTATTAGTACTCTTATATAATTGTTATATAATTTTTTTTTTGCACATGATTATATAAAAATAGTAACAATAAGCTAATTAAGACATTCTAGCTGGACCGGAAACCGTTGGTTCATATCCTAGGATTATAATTTTATGTGTTTGGCTTAAATATGACGTTAACTGACCATAACATATATCAATTTTAATGTTTTTGATATTTGATAAATATAGACCTATAATTAATACTTTGTTATTATTATGGTAATCTGTAAAAGAAACATTTAGGGAAGGTTGTATATTTATTATAAAGATGCAAATAGATAAAATAGAATTGAATTGTATTCCATATATTATATTTATTATATAAACAATTTTTGTATATATGCACTTAATTGTGAAATTTAACTTGAATATTATGTAACTATTGTAATCTTGTCATATGTGTACTTTTAATGACATTTCTAATGTAATTTTTAATATTTGCATAATCACTGAGTAATTAATCAATGTGGTAGGAATCTGCCATTTGTTATAGTGGAAATGCTTATAGAATGCAAATTGCAGTAGGAAAGATGAAATAGTATGACAGGAACATTTAGCCATTAGTAAGACATTGCCAGCTACTGTACTGTACAGTGTATGTTTTTGTTTTATCTACATACATATTTCAGGTTATTGTTTACATTATTTTTAATAATATTCTCATTACCTATCCAGGCATATATACAAAACAGATTGTTGTAGACATGCATAGCGTCTGTTTATTGATATACCATTATGTTAATGTTGTATTAAATTTAGAGCTTTCTTAGAAATGGAATCATCTATTAAAGTAGACTTGATTTTTTGATAGTTTCCACAGGATCTACCTTTAGCAATACACGATATGAATGCATTACAGATGTGTTAATTTTTTGGTTTTTCTAACAAGGTTTCCTTGACAGGGGACCCTGTGCTGTTTAAAGAAGTGCATTGTCCACTGAAAATGACATAAAGAAAATCATGAAAAAATTATTTTGAAATTAAGATCAAGTTTGTGATTTGTTTGTTACTTCAAAATGAGCATATTAATTTTTTTAAATGATGTGATATTCTGTGTATATATTATACACAGTAAACCTTGTTAAACCTATCGCAAATTTTAAAAACAATTAATAATTGAGAAAACCAAGTGTGATTGTCATACTTTTATTAGGCCTATATGATGCTGTCATTAACTAATTATTATTACCTAGAAACCACTTCCGAATATTCGCAGGGGAAGCGTATCATAGATATTCACCGGGGAATTGTGCAGACGTGTATTTACACACAACAAGAGTAATCATTCAATTATGTACATAGACCATCACCTATCTATTGTTGTTTAAAGAAGTATAAAGAGAAATACTGTTGTTGAAATGCAAATCAAATATTTCCTTAGTATTGAGAACAAAGTCCACATAAAATGCTTGTTATGAACTAGGTAAGGCTGGGTTTTCCTGGTTACACAGTTCTTAAACTGCTGTAGCAACACTTTCATTTGTATTGCACTATTATTAGAGATAAATTCCAGCCATATAGATAATTGTGGGTGTTTTGGGTGCATTCTCCTTGAGAAGTGGACCGTGTTTTACTTTTTTGTCAGTGAGGCATTTTCTACTTGGTGTGGTATTGTTAGGTAAGTAATATCTGTGTATTCTTTAATGGGGATAGGCTTAAAATTTCAATGGCAACTGGGCTCAACCATTTACGTTATTCTGGTGGCACATTTATGAAAATAAGCGTTAATATATTTACACTAATATACCAAGAAGAACTGCAAAATGTAAGTAAAGTATTCCATTTCTGGGTAAAATTTTCCTTCCAAATTTTGAATTGTAGGCCAACCCTAGTCTAGTCATAATATAATATTATTTAACTCTATTCTATAAGATTTAATGAAAATGTATTAATATAATTGTCCTGTAAAATAGTTATCGAAGTTAAATTAATAATTTTTGTTGTAAATTTTATATATTTTATTTTTGTAAACCTGTAGTATTTATTAATTGTTTGGATGATTTGAGTGGTTGAGAAGTACAGTAAGGCAAAGGTACTGCAACAACCAGCATTAGCACTGACTTGGAAACCCCCTTGCTCATAATATTTTGTTGGTAGGACCAGGTATTCTCAAATATGGTCTTAAGGCCCATGTGCATAAAGTCACATGCATCTCTACTAGAGAACCGAACACAAGGTTGGAAACAGGTTGTTGTAGTAACAGAAAGCAACTCGCAGGTGTCTTCCAGAAATTGGGACGCCGTACACTTCAGCAGGCAAGCAAGAATTTCCCAGAAAATAACCTATCCTCCTAAACTTTTCAAAATTATAAAAAAAATGGAGAAAAAAGAAAATTATATTCAAAATGTCTGAGAGTGCCATAGCCATCTAAAGTTCCCTCCATCTCTAAGAGTTCCTCCCTTGGCCCTCTCTTTTTTGAATTCCTGGATCCGCCACTGCAGATCTCCTAGCCCGGGATTTATCAATCTCAGCTTGCAATATGTCTTAAGTCAAAAAAGTTAAGATGTCCCTAATAAATATCTTAAGCTGATTTATTACCCAATCTTAGCAAAATCTTGGCTTAAAAATCGTCTTAGATGGCGCCAACGTACAATCGACTTTCTAATTTTTTTTAATTTATTTCTTTTTAATTTTTAAGCTAAGCAATATGGATAAATTTGACTTAAGCAAAAAAATGATCTTAAGACGAATTTAAGCTGATTTCAAGTTTGATAAATCTTCCCCCTGGAACTGACATCTTGTAACTTGGGACCCCTATTCTGCAGAACTTGTCACCTGAAACCTTGCAGTAACAGACATGCTAGTCTTTTGCAGTTCCCTAGAATACTTCAGTCCCACTTGTTGTGCAATAAGCGTCTCTCGAAAGAAGCTTACATATTGACATCTTCCCTGTAGCGTATGTAGGGGGTGCTCGGGGATGCGCGCTCCTCCAAAGATTACTCGCGCCACCCAGGCACCCCCAAAAATCACAGTCAGGTAGTTAAAATTCACCTAAAATCACCTTATTTTGTGAGTAAGCGCCCTCTCAACTGATCATCAAGCCCCAACTTTACCTCCACGTCCTCCCCATCAGCACCCCCATTTAAAGCCGCCTAGAAAACCACTGCATCTCCCACATGCAAGTCAGCACAATAATGCTACGAGTCATGCATTAATTACCTACATTTACCTTTATACATTTATATTTTCTTTTATATTTATCTATTATATATTTTGAGTAATGTATCAATAGAAATATAATAAATACCAACTCTTTCATTGCTTTTAATCCTTGTACTTCAAAATCTAATATTTTATTAAATATTATTTAATTGTTTACAGGTTCTTATTTTGATTGAAGGGTATAAGGGGTTGGGGTAAAACATATAGTATATAGTGATTTTACTACTCTTGTCATGGTCAAATAACAGACTTTCTCAAGCACTGTACTACTCAACTTCCATAGTTGCTACGGCAATTTTGCCTTATTATGGACAGACAAAAATACTACGGAAATTTATTATAGGCCTATACCCATAAATAAATAGGTCTAGTCCAGACAAATGACTTTTCCATCAGGATATTTGGTTACATTGTCCCTAGGCAACTCAGAGGTACTTGTCAGATTACTGATTGTTATTATAATATTTATTATTATTATTTTTTATTACTTGTCAAATTACTGATAAATTATTGTGAAAAGAAAAAGTGACCCGTAAATCTTCATCCTGCCCTGCTTGTTTGAAATCCCACAGTTGTTATTATATTGCACCTGTAATTTAAGCACCCATATTTTGCACTCATGACAAATATTAGGTGCTATGGAAATTTTGTATTTACTACGAATTTTTAAGACTTGGTTACTGAAATGCATTTACCAACTTGAGAAGTCTGATATGTGTATAATGCTCCTCTAATCACAACACTCCGAGTATTTTATAAACAAAAAAAAGGATAGTGACTCAATTTCCATCTCTCTGAATTCCTGTTTCAGTCAATAGTGGACTTCTAAACAACTCAATCCCAGACAAAGTCTAAACCTTGAGGTAACACTAGTACGGATATAATACTGAAGGTAAGTGAAGTCTTTATATCGAGGTAACGTTAGCATTTGAAACATCGTTTAATTGAAGCAATTAGTAATTAGCCGATTTATAGAACATAATATCATTGCTGACACAATTTTGCCAATGACCTTTGGAAACTGATACTATCTCAGTATAGACAGATCTCTAGCTGTAGCGAGATATCTGTATGAGAGCCTGAAATACAGTTTAGTTGTGGGATATGCATAGTAATCGGTTAATACTAGGTGGGAACATCATTTTACTAGAATAAAGTAAGATAAATATTTTTATTGTCAAAATAGCAAATTTTCTAACAGTTAGGCCTCAAATTCGAACTACCCTTGGGACCTGAAAATGTAGGGTGGTCCCTGGTTTAGTTTCTTAATTAGAGCTTTACTGGTTAGAGTATTCAGATCAGATTTATTAATAAAGTAAGTATTTTATTGGGAAATTACACCTTTATATCGGTGGCACACACAAAGGTGGTGCATCCACATTGTACAACTTATAAAAGAACAAACAAAATTATAAACAAAGAATTAAACTATAAACTAAATCAACAAAAAGAATACATAAAGGCCTACACTTACAAATTTAAATTGGCAATTAAAAGTACTGCTCCAGACAAAGAGAGAGGGGTCACTATAGTTGGGGGGGGGTTGACTATAGAGCAGAATTTATTTATATTTATTTATTTATTCATTCATTTATTTATCTATTTATTTTTTGTGGAGATTTGAAATAGATACCATGAGAAAATGAATAAATGAACTATCTGGGGATGTGGCAAACCAGCTCTCTCTGTGTATGAAGCGACATATCTACAAGTAAATTAAAAACAAGCAAATTAAAAAACAAAGAATTAAGCTATTAACTTAATTAAGAGAATACATATACCCTTACACATTTTAACATACTGTGTTTTAGTTTTAGAATACCTAGAATGCCATGCTAACAGAAAAAAAAAATCAGAGTGAAAATGGAATATTTCTATTCTGATCTAGATAAGCCTTGATTGCCATGGGAAACCAAACATCAACCTCAAAAAGCCCAAGTAGTCCAGGTAGGGACTCAGCTATGCGAAGGTCCAACTACTTCAGAAGGAGCAACTTCAGAAGTGGGGCCATGAAGAAGAAGAAGCCTGCAACATCACCAGGGTCACCACCAAGGACTGGAGGATCATTCCGGTCTCCGCTGAAGTCAGTGACGACATCGAATCCTGCAAGTCCAGCCACAGGTATGTTATAATGATAACCAAATCAAGTCGCTGGAGTTTCCTAGAAATCAGCCTCCCGCAAGCAAGCAAGAACCTTTCAGAATATTTCCTACGATTCATATTATTTTACTACTTTATCTGAATCATTATTACAGTAATTGTTTCATGGTAGTCAGTGCTGATGGATATCACCATGTGTAGCAAAATTGAAATTAGATGTGTTAAAATACCTCTCAGAAGTGGCTTGTTTTAACTTGAGACCCCTGCTTTACCCCCCCCCCCACCAAGAAGTATCAAGAATCTTTTCCTACCTGTTCTATAGGCTTAAATAAAAGGCCTAATTATAGATTAGATTGGATTGGATTTATTCAGTGTAAACACCAAGGATAGCCTACTAAAGTCTAAAAGAAGACTTATTTCCAGTGGGGTCCTTCTGGTGGTGATTGGGCAGTATACCGGGAGACAATCCCCTACTCTCTTCCTAAGAGTGTACTGCGTTTAACATGAACATGGGCCATAATGCACACTGAACCAATGGCTTAAACGTCTGGTCCGAAAGACGGTGCGCTATCATAACTTGCATTTCAGGCCTCCAGTTGAAATACAAGGAGAGAGCAATGGGAATTGAACCGGGAACAAGATTCTCCACAGTTCAGCACACATATATACTGTAGTGGCTACCACCAGTTTATCCAACTGAGTTAAGCTGCTTTCTAGAACAATTAAAGTCAAAATAAATATTGTTAAATGTGTGTAGTAAATAAAACTTCAAAGCACAATACACTAGTTAAACTTGCCTAAGTCAAATCAAAAATGGCATTGAAAAATTGTTCGACTTACAGATCATTGATAAGTGGAAGAAACACAACAATTTGGCATGTAAAATGAGGTTGACTTAGAACTTATTTGAGTTTTAGGCAAAGGGTCATTCCATGTCAAATCACCCCAAAAAATGAACATTTTTAACCCAACTGACTCCGATTTCGCTGAAAATTGGTATACATGTTTGGTTTGGCATCAAACATGCAAATCTTAAATTTTAGCAAAGTCGGATCAATATTTTGGAAGTTATGGTCTGCCCAAATATGGCAAAATTGGCCAAAACGGGTGTGGATGCCTTAATATCTCGACAATTGGTTGACCGATATTTGTAAAATTGGTATTGCTGAAAAGAGAATTAAGCAAGGTAGATTTAACAAAGTAAACAGTAAAAACTGGATTTAATTTATATTACATGATTCCATATAATATTATATTAACCATGAGAAAAAAATTAAAAATTGAAATCCTAAGAGGAACAAGTGAAAAATTGATGATGTTCAGTCATTTTATTGAATTTGATTTGAATTTTGTGTTGTTTTGATGGAATGGTTTTTTTTTTGTGATAAATAAAAGTGGTGGTTTTTACTACAAGAGATAAAAATAAAAAAAAGGAACAAGTGAAAACAATACTGTAAATAGAAACCAAGAGAGCTATCAAAACACCAACATTTGCTATTTGTAATTTAATTTATAAGGTGCCATTATGAAGAAGAGGTACTTGATATATTAGAATTCACAAACCTCTTTTAAAAGCCATACAATTAATTCACTACCACCAGAAAAGTTTTTCAAAAACACTTCCTGATACAGATGAATAAAAAATCAAAATCAAATAAAGAAAATTAAATATTCATTATTCGTCATCTAATATATAACAAAAATACTTTGCGATTTGTTTTTCTTGGCAATAAACATAAAACTTTAAAAACTACAAGACAAAGGCTATTGTACAATCACATTCCTTTTTTTTATTTTTACACAATCATTCCATCTGAATAAATAAAATGTAGTATAATGGAATAAAAATGTTAAAATTGTATTCAAAATAATGGATACTCGGTATTATAAGCTAAAGGCAGATCCAGAATTTTTGCAATGAGGGGGCACCAATTTTGTATAGACCTAGATGTAACGGATGATTATTCAGATATATACAATAATGATATAATTCATGTTCAGTATTATGCTGTTATGAAGTATTGTAACATTTACTGTAGTATGTGTATGCCATTTTGGCACATGAAACTTGTGATTAATCTTTTTTTTTTTTTATTATTAAATTTTAAATGTTACAAGTATTTATATAGCATATTTCTTAAAATATACAAAGTACTAACATGAACTAATTTCTAAAAACTTATATACTCCAGACGGTCCCATCCTGTCAGTCTGTTGCGATTTGTGGAAATGTCTAGTCCACACCAGGGGCTGAACCAAAAATCAGATGTAAAGACCTTCTTATAGAATGCCTTGGGTTTTTCAAAGTACGCAATAATTTTTTGTGGCCTACAGTTGATATTCGTTATTCGAGATGACCAAAGAAACCATATGCCGATATAAGACTCGCTTGAATACGTAATTTAATTTTGGTTTCAGGATCGCATACCAATTCTCTGGGACCTGCCGCTAATCGTTTCCATAAAGATGTTGGAAGGATGTCACCCAGCAAATTGGACCTATGGAAATTGGAAAAACCTGTGGATAGAGGTAGGCCTACAGTTTAGTTGATTTCTAGAAGTTTAATTGGATTAATTATGGATACATCACTCGAATCTTTGTAATGTATATTTACCTAAGTTATAGTAGTCTCAGTAGCATTTTTTATGAATTTGTTACTTTATAATTTTAAAATCAGTTGTCACGTCAACAAGGAAAAGTCCTAGGTATGTTCTGTGATACAAACAGTATTATTATTTTTGTTGTAGCTGTTGTTTATTTTATATCTTTATCATCACATAAAAAGCAAAGTTATCAGTATTAATTATTATCCTAACATTGTTGCTTTAAAGATATTTATTTTATGTCAATACTGTTTTCAGGTGGTCAACTCATTGTTGAATGCATTGAACTTCATTGTCATTTGAACAAGGGTTTCCATAGCACCGAAGAATACCAGTCGACTGATTTGATAATACGCCGTGGACAGTCATTCCAGATAACGATGCGGTTAGACCGTCAGTTTAATGACAAAAATGACACCATAACCATACGGATGACAACAGGTATTTTTTTTTTGTTTTTTTTTTGTTGTCTTATTCCTAAATGTCATTATTAGACCAGAATTCGCTGACCCAAAATTTTTAAGATTTTAGGTCGGTTGGGCCAGCACAAACTCTGTTCTTTTATTTTTATCTTTTTCAGAAGCATATTTCTTTTCACAAGTTTAATTTTTTTATTGCTATACTGTGTTAATTTTATTACATTTATTACCATTTTTAAAAGATCCTCTCACTCCCTAAATATATTTTTGAAACTTGAGGATAACTTGGCCGTTGGAGAAAATTTATTAGCTTGATAATAAAAAAAAAATCTCTTTCATAAGTAAGAAATAAATAGTCTATACATTTTTACTTGTTTTTAATACATTTTATTTTAATAATGTTGTTTATTTTTTTTATTATCTTTCAAATATATTGATGATCAGGAGATTAGTTTTGTATAAACTTCATATATCTTAAATGGCTTGATGTTATTGTAGTACTGAACATACGTACATACATTACATAACAGTATTTGCTTTAGTGCTATTTGTGTTCAAGTGCATATACAGATATTAAACCTTGGTGAATGCAGAAACAAATCAAATATTTAATATCTTATAAAGTCCATGATATTTCAGGAGATTAGTTTTGTATAGATCTCATATATCTTGAAAGGATTCAGGCATAAGTGCGTGTGCTCTTCTAAATATTGATGCACTGTATATTACTGATTGGATATTTTCCTTCAAGCCTTTATTAATTTTCTTGGAAAATTCATGAGGTTAGTGGCTATGAGTCCCTGGGATCATTACGATTATTACACCTGTCAGGCTATCAGGCCACTGGGCTGGCCTGTAACCTTGAAGCTCCAACAATGTAGAGAGGGTGTTTTAATTGTTTCAATCAAGGAGGTATAAAATATTTTTATACCTCCTTGTTTTAATAGTGTCTCAGAAATCTAAAAATTACAGAGAATTATTCTCTTACCCCCTCCCCCTTATTTCTCTCATAAATTTAGTTTTCTCTTCATGGGGGTTGGGGCACTGCTTTCACTGCCAGAGAGATTTTTATCTTTATTTAGAAATACCAAGAATACTTAGTCTCAAACATCTTGTGTTGTGTTTTTTGTTTTGAAACCATACAGTATTTATAGAGGGTGACCCTTCTAGCATATCAAGGTATGTTGGCTGATATTCAGGTGCCCTCTTAAATAAATCAGCCACATTTGATATAATAATTTCAAAGAAGCAGTCAATATTTAATCAATCTATCAAACCATGCAATCAAACACTAGGCCATTCAGAAATTGAGTGCCACATGACAATATCATGGTTGCTCAATATCATTAGGATAAGAGCATGCAAATGTTGTATCAGATTTTATTTATCTGCATCTGGAGAGGTGAGATGCTATATTAGGCTTTGATGTTGACTGATAAATTGTGTTAAAATGTCTGGTGGTAAACTGTGATATTTTTAACATCCTGTATCTTTTATGTAACAACTGATTTATGGTCTTTGACGGTACTTTATGGCAGTTACTTCCTCTGTGAATGGAACCTTTTATTTCATTTTTTTCAAAGATACATAAATTTTCAAGAGGTTTACGCTTTAGAGCTGAAACTGTACTGCACATAAAATTTCTCTACAACTAGCCAACAATTATTGAATTATATTAATTTTACTCACAATAGTACATAGTTTCATTATTATATTGATCATTATAAATACAATATATTGTGCTACATCCCTCCTCCTGCTCTCAGTTTTACATTAGTGTCTAAAAATGAATTTTTGTAAGCTTGGAGAACCACTCAATAGATTTGTTTCGCTTTTTGGTTATCCCGTTGGGTTGTTAACGATTGTATATTTTTTGTCTATTTGAATGTATTTTTGAAGACAACATAATTGAAATGAATAAATGGAAATGATGCATTATGAAAAAAATTACATAATTTAATTTTCCATTCCGTTAATGCACTTTGATTATTGATTATTTGTATGTTTTTTTTATGCACATACATTTACCAGGAACAATCCATAAAATTTGTGATAGTACATTAGTCCAAATACCGATACTTAAGGAAATTAAGAAAAGCCAATGGAGCGCTGTAATAAAGAACATTGATAACTGTTCGGTGACCCTTGACATCTGGTGTCCAGTCAAGTCTCTGATTGGTCGATACAGGTTGATGGTAGAAACCAGAGCTACGCAGAAGGATTTGCCAGAAAGAGAGTTTATATATCAACATGATGATGCTGTGTATATACTTTTTAATCCATGGTGTGAAGGTAATGTGTAACTTTTATATAACAATAAGTTATATATATTTTGGTGGAGGCTGGGTTTTTTTTTTCTTCTGTTATGTCCTTTATTCCAATACTGTATTTACTTTTCTTTGATGATTTATATATAATTTAACAGTGTTAATATCTATCTTGATTTATACTATATGCTACTATTTAGTTCCAGCCGTGTACGGATGTTGAAAGAAAGGAGTATGTACAAAGTGATACTGGTTTTATCTGGTTTGGAACAAGTAAGCACCTTAGTAAGCGAGCTTGGGATTTTGCTCAGGTAAAGCCATCCATAAAAATCTTGTTAAAAAATATAACAGTAATATAGTTCACTTTATTTTTATTTCATTTATTTTTGAGGTACCAAAAAAAAACACCCAAAAAATAGCAAATACAAAGCCGTTGCACATAGCTGAAATGCTTGTATAACAATACCTATAAAAAACTAAACCAGGATCACCAAGCAGAAAAAACTGACAAATACCTGACTGAAATACACAACAAGAATAAATTAAAATTAGAATATTCAAATACCAATTATAGGATACAAAACTATACAATATAAAATTACAACATAAATTTACTTGAAATAATTGTGTTTACACTTAGCAATTAAAAAAAGACAGAAAAAAATTCTATTCATATGTTAATTAGAGTTTGAGACTAAAGAAACCATGACAGCTCTGGTTCCAAAATTTGTTTTTTTAGATGGAGGGAGACTGGTAGAGATTTATATGCAATAAATACCACTTACAACATTACTAAAATTAGCAATACTTTAGGTCTTTGATAAATGAATGCAAGAGTCATGCAGAGGTTAAGACAAGTGTTGAATCATTTACTACATGCTCTAAAGAATCATAAATTACTATAAATAGTAATATTTAAAAAGGAATGCAATAACAAATGTTTAAAAAGTGTACAGTGTCTTCTTTAAGAAAAAATGAAATAATAAAGTTGAAATTATATTTTGTTTCATTTTAGTTTGATGAAATTGTTCTTAGAACAATAATGTTCATCATTGAATCCAGCGTCAATGTGTCTGCGAGAAATGATCCGATTAAAGTTAGCCAAATTGTTTGCAATGTGGTAAGTTCCGGATATACTGATTGGGACTTTTTTTATATACAGTTTTGACGTGATAAAACATTTTCATCAGGAGTGTGTCCAGAGAATGACATGGGCATAAAACTCAATACATACAGTGTGTGTGGTCATCTGTGAAAATTATTTGATACATGAAATTTCCTCACAAATATTTTCAAGCTGGAACCAAAAAATATACAGTAGCTAGCTTTTGTGCAACTGATAATACAGTTGTTAGGCATGTGATACATGTGTTTTGTTTTGTTTCAGCGAAATTGTAAACATTATTTTGTACACACGGTTCACCTTTAATTTGGGACCTGAAAAAAGTTTTCTTAGTTCGGTCTCCATTAAGCAGGTCACCGTTGTGTTAAAAGATGAATTGTTATTTAGTTCATTTAAACATTGGTCTCAAATTTTTTGAATTGGGGGAAAACTGTATTTTTTTCTTTCATATTTCTGTTATTACTGTTTGGTATATATAATGTGTGGTTGATTTTATGAAATTATGTTAACCAATTTTGAAAAAAAATAAATTCTACTTTAAATTTGTTGTGTTGTTTGTTTGGCTTCAGTGAAGTGTATAATGGTTATACTACTTACACAATGTATTATATTCGGTTATACTAGTTAATTATGCTGGTAATAAAATAATTCTTTATTGATTCTTATTCAAACTGGAAATCAGAAATTCTGGCTGGGCCCCTGAGGACTCCCAGCAGCCGCAGTTTTGCCACCTAACTTAATTACAATGAAAGAGAGAATAACAAATTTTGAGCCAATAATCAAGAATTATAAATTTTTGTGTCATCGTTTTCACATACACAGTTGAACGGTCACCATGAGTATGGTGTGATGGAATGCCGTTGGGACAATAAATATTCGTTTGGTGTTCCTCCTGCAACATGGAATAGTAGTCGTAGGATTCTTGAAGAATACATGAAAACGCAAAGGCCAGTGAGGTACGGCCAGTGCTGGACATTAGCCGGTCTGCTGACGACAAGTAAGGGTATTTAGAGTAAAAATTAGTCTTTATTTTTAAATTTAACCACAAATGTTATTACAGCTTTTGAAACCATAAAGCCTATCCACACTAAGACTTTATAACAAGAATCTGTGATGTGCCAGAATTTTATTTATTTTGTGCCTTCGAGGAGAATATAAACATCCTTGGCTTTCTACCATAATTAGCTAAACTGCACTGCTTATTTAATCATAGACATAGACTTGTTTGAATTGCCCCTTTAAAGTGGAAAGCAAAATGTTACATTGTAAGAATAAAGTGTATGCTGCCCTCATTTGACTTTGTCTTCTCTATAAAAATATCACAAGTGATAATTATTTATTCGAGGCATGCCATCCAAAAACAAGCGTACTGTTGCTAAGTGCAAGTAATGTAAGTCATTAGCATAAGAGGTGGCAGTATTGTATACTTTAGTAGTACAGAGAAGCTGTAATACTTTTACTGTATTTATAACTTGGCAATAGTAAGTCAATTCGAGTAAATCACCTATCATTTTTAAGCTTATAATGTGAAGAATATGAATATATTAAAAAGTCAATTTTTTTGTTTTCGTCACTTATGCATGGCAAGCCCAATTTATTGTTATGTGTTCAGACATTCTATGGCACAAAATCAATTTTTAAATATGTGTTTGTTCTTATAAAAGATTAATATGGATAAAATGTTTATATTGCATTACATTATCTCAGGTGGGATCTCCAATAGACAATTATCCATAATTTGTTTTATTGTCCGAATAATTTGTTTATATTTATTTGTTTGTGTATTTTATTTTTTATTATTTATAATACATTATATATTTGAGAGTAAATTCATGGATGAATATAACATTTTATATTAATAAATATTTTTCTTTTTTCCAAATTATTGGATTACTGTATAAATGAGTTTTAGTTTGTGTGCCATGTAAGGTTATTAAGATAAAATTATGATATAATGTGATTTTAATCTGTTATCATATTGAAATTAACTCGATTTATTTTTTCTCTTTCAGTGTGCCGCTGTATCGGGATTCCTGCACGATGTGTTACCAGTTTCAACTGTAATCATGATGCTGAGAAAAATACATCAGTTAACATCTATTTTGATTCAAATTCAAATCAACCAATAGAAAATATGAATGATCAGTCTTTATGGTAAGATGTGCCCTCATTGGAAACTGTATTTAATGTCCTAATTACTCTTTATATTTATGCTTTATAAACCTGGTTCTCAAAATATAGGTCATGACCAAAATTTGGGTCGTCAAAACATTTTTGTGGGACACAAGAACAATTTTCTTCTATACTAAAGGTATTTTCATCACTTGCAATCACACACTGAAAATACTAAGCCCCTAGGCTGTTAGTTTACCCGCCCTAGTGGTCCAAATACCCCTGCTCTGAAAGGAAAAAGGATCCAAAGTAGTAATGTTTCTACTCCATATAAATGCTTGCATACATCTGTGTAATTATATCATTGGTAATATTGTTGTACAACTTTGTTCTTAGGTTCTTTCATGTTTGGAATGAAGTTTGGATGACAAGAACGGATCTGCCACAGGGCTATGATGGTTGGCAAGTTCTTGACCCAACCCCCCAAGAAACCAGCAAAGGTAGATTGTATAATGAAGAGACACTAAAAAAATTGTTATTGATTATAGGCTTTTACAATATCAGGGGAACATTAAGATGGGGGCCAGCCCCCCCCCCGCCCTTTTTGGAAGGTTAAAAAAGAAAAAAAAATAGAAAGAAAGAAAGAAAGAAGAAAAAATTTGGATTGCCAAAACGCCTCAGAGCTTATTTTCAGGTGTCTAAGACACAAAAATTTCATGGGGGAAATGCCCCGGACCCCCTTCGGTAGTATTATCTCGACCGGCCCCAATTTTGCACCTTTTTGGACATCTCTGGATCTGCCCTGAATGTAGATACAATTGGCAATTTGATTGATACATCAAGTGTTTAATGTACCAAGCACACCTACTGTATGCTTTTAGGGAAATAGGTATATCCATTTGCAAATTTTTTTTTTTTCCCGGTTATTGAATACGGAATCAATGTGAATCCCCTTCCATTCCCTTGGTTGTATTCTTAGTCATATGTGTAAAACACTACCGATTTCATTCCAAGCCATTCACTCACCTAACCAGGGAGTTGTTATTTAAATAACAACTCCCTGGTCTCACAGCGTTTTCAAAAAAATGAGAAGATTGAAAGAGGTGAATGGATCTGAAACTGTCCCTACATGGAAGCGTGACAGACTTGATGTGGTGGTTAGGTTAGGATTATGCGCATGTCTCACAAACACATATGTTTACCTGAGTTTTTACTATAATTTTTTTGGACCTTAGCAAAAATGTCCAAGAGATGGGGCTTAGCAGGAAAGTTCATTAGCCAGGTTTGTCTTTGGTGCATTTTAAAGTATGACCCTATCAGAACATATCCTTTCCGCTAGATTAATCATTTTGATAATTTTTTTTTCAACAAGGTTTAAGCTGTATTGGACCTGTACCATTGAATGCTGTGAAGCAAGGACATCTCTACTATCCATATGATTCTGACCAACTCTTCACTTCTGTCAACTCAACTGTAACATTCTGGAGTTGTTCAGAGGAATTTGGTGTGTACGGCCAGATGAGGGTTGTAAAGCAGCATGAGATTGATGGACAGATGATCTACACAAAGGCACTAGGAAAAGCTGAGCCGGAAGATATTACACACCTGTACAGGCACCCAACTGGTAAATATCTTAATTAACAAAATTAAGGATGAAAATAACGAATATACTCTTCATCATTATCAGTACGCAGCACCGGTGTTGGACAAAGCACTTTCTAAAATTTTTTGCCTTGTTTCTGTTTTGGATTGGATGAGCCTTTCGTGTTGTAATGCATTTTTCATTTAAATATACCATGTTTATTCACTTTGAATAAATGTCCCTCTCGAAAAATAACACCCCTTCTAGAACCTTCTTGAATAACTATTTTAATCCATTAAATTTAATAATTTATTGGTAAAGAAAATATGAAAGTTCCATTAAAAGTGTACATAAGATTTGCCTCTTTTATTTTATTATGAAATTACTGCTCATAAAGAACATTCATTATATTTTTATGTTTATGAGAGCAGACAGGAACATGAGCTAATTATATATAATCAATAAAAACTTGATTTTTACACCAAAATATTGAAGTATAGGGCTAACAGTAGGGATCAAGGATTGAAGAATGATGGACTATTTTACAAACGATCTTAGAAACATCGCTTTGTTTCTAATAATTTCCTTTGATTTTTTTGGAAAGGGTTGTGGGGTGACTAGCCACCTTACTCACACCTAGATCTACCCCTAGTGTAAAAGTAATATAAATAATATATACGTCATAGGTAGCAAAGAGCATAAGATGACAATACAGACAGTATGTGAACTTGGATTAGGAGTAGAAACGGAAGAAGACGTACAAACACAAGACGTTGAAATCAAGATCGAGACACCAGATGATGCTGTAGTTGGAAGCGACTTTAACATTACAATAACTATGCACAATTCCAGCGCAGAAGAAAGGAACATAGAGGCAAGGCTCAAGGTTCAGGTAAGTGAAACCATGGTGAAACAAATATATTGGAAACCGTGGTTGTGTGAGTTCTAGGGGTTTCTAAACTCTATTGTGTTGTTGGGCAAGGCACTCTATATGTTTACCTTTCTCCCACGTTGGTGTGAATTTTCCAAAGTATTTGGTGTATGCCAAGTATTTATTCATAAATCATTACTATAAAAGATAATACATACAGACATCAATAAATCAATCCAACCAATCAACAAGTATTTGTAAAGCTCTAAAATCCACAGCAGAATGTAATGATTAGTGGTGCTATGACAGTGGTATTATTCAAAATGTACATTATTTTAATTACGAATACTATACAATTGTAAGATTACAAACAAATACATACATTGATCCACTTACATTAATTTTAATCAAGTTACCAAAAAATAAAACTGCATACATATATACATTTGCATTAATTCTATTCAAAGTTACAAATTTAAAAATTATTTAATTTAATTTAGTTACAGTTTTCAATTTTGTGTAATTTTGACTTTTGTGTTAGGCATGTTTCTATACTGGTGTCACAAAAGAGCGATGTAAGGAAGAATTACTATCTGTAAAGTTAAAGCCCAAAGAAAGTAAGTTTAATAAGTACTCAGATTCTTTGTATAGTGCAAGCAATATCCATTAAAGATTATCACAGGACTGGTAAATTACAAGTTGCAATAGTAATTCAGAAATCAATGCAAATCTAGTTACCAGCGACTTGTATTTGAAAAGGGGGCATATGTTTCTAGGTTTGGGATGCATGCGATCGTATAATTTCCCTCGGTTGGGATCGGCAGTAACTGCCAGTTTCAGATGAGGAACAAAGGCAAACTCCAGAGGTATTATAATGTGTGAAGTTATTATTTATAATTAATGTTTTTAAATGAAGTTCTTCACTTTTTTAATGATTATATATAAGAGGTGAGGGGAAAAAATACCCGACCTCTGTCCTATTGGCTAAAGAAATATGGAATGCTTTAAGCAGATAATTCAACAATACGTAACCTCGGACTAATGTCATCATTGAAATTGGTGTTTTTATATTTGCAGCAAGTTCTTCTGTAGTCCACATGGCAGCATCAGATTACATGATGAAACTTGCAGACCACAGTTGTTTGAGAGTCTTCCTGTTTGGAAGGGTTGAGGAGACTAATTCAAAGCTTGTCTGTCACTCAGATATGTGTCTCGCTCGCCCTGAACTTGAAATCACGGTAAGGAAGTTATTCTTTAAAATACATTTTTTAAAGAATTTCCTGTATACTTCGCATATATATATATATCCATTTTAGATATTATATATTGCAAATTATTGTTTTGATCTGGATATTTTGAGTTGTAACAGAAAAACAGCTAGAGAGTGCAAAAGCTTTTGATTTCCGAAGTTGTGCATGATTATTTTTATAACGTACATGTCTAGCTGCTGAATCACTGCCAATGTTTGCAAATTTGGATTTCGCTGGATGTGCGCTATTGTTACAAGTGTGTGCTTCATCTTCTTCACATCTCCATAATCAAGTTAAATATTTTGAATGCAAATGAAACTTGAATATCAAACGCAATCACAAGCACTATCATTCCACCCTGCGAAGTCTTTGACATTCTTGCTGCAGCAGAGGAAGAAAGTGTTCCATGGTTTGCAGTTCAGTACCGCAACAGATAACACCTTCAAAAAGATACAAAGCTAAATGGTAATGAGACATATAAACTGACAAGGAATCTCTGTATTCATTCATCATCTCAACTCCTTCAAACAGAACATTGATCTTTTTTCGCTGCTCCTTCAAAAGTCTGGAATTCTGCCCACACAAATCAAATCTGCAGAAAATATAACCATGTTCAAGTCCAGACTAAGAAACACCTGTTTGACCATAATTTCTCCTTGTAATTTCCTCTTGTTTGTTTTTTTCTTATGTTTCCTTTCCTGTTTTTTTTCGCCTTACTTGGTTCTGGCACTGTGAGCGCACCTTGCAGATACCAGTGCCTCATAAATACCTGCTATTAGTATCAAATCTATACAGAGACTTTAATATTGTTTTATTATTCTTAAAAATTCTTTTTAGCTGAAGAACACAGATGGCTTGAAAGCAGATGAGATCTTCTTCGCAGTGTTTCAGTTCATGAATCCTGTAAGCATTGCACTTACCAACTGCAGGCTAACTGTTGATGGATGTGGGGTGGAGGCAGTGAAACCTGTCGAAATGCCGTAAGTATCATAATCAGTCTTTATATCGGACTTTTGTTGTCAAACTAACCACCATGAACCTTTGGTCATTTTGTGAACAACCTCTTGGAAAAATTTAAGCAAATTGCGCTCGCACTAATTATTCCAAAAGAAGTAAAAGCTTTCCTTTGAGTTGAAAAGTTATCGCCGATATTGTGGCTTCGTTATCAAACATTTTAACGAACATTTTGAGTGCCCAAAAGTTTAAATTTGTAATCTGCAATCGAATGCATCCAATGACTGCATTTTCAACAATCATTTGCATGTGCTGAATGTTGTTTAGCTAGGAATCTGGTAAAATTTACAGCATCCATGTGCAAACAGCTGTTAAGATGTAGCCATGGATAAATTACTTAACTTGAAATTAATGCTGAAATTTCTAAAATAATTCAAAATATTCCAGTTAATTGTTAATCGTCTCACAACAGTGGTTCACCTTTATTTTTTAATCATATTAGTTTGTTTAATAAACACATTTTTTCATTTAACATCTTAATTGGTTTTCATTCTAACTACTGTAAATGTTTTAGTCATCATATTACTTGTTGAGTGTTATTTTACCTCTATGTTATTTTGAATGTCCTGTGAATTTCTGTTTTATGTTTCTTTAACCTTTTAGGGATATTGAACCATTCCAAAATCTGAAGACAAAGATGAAACTAAGGTTAATTAAGGGAGGTCATCAAACTCTTATAGCTGGATTTACTTGCGATCAAATCAACAATGTAACAGGTTACATAGAACTTGATATTGAAAGGCTTGTGTAAAGTTGTCACCGGGCTACACATTAGGGTGTGACCTTAAAGCCAGGCAGTCACTGCGCCCGACGGTGTTTTGTCAGCCGACGCGATTCTATGGAGAAAGCAACGGATCGTGTTTAATGGCGATAACTTCAGACTGTCCCCAACAATCAGCAGACGGAATCGCGTCATGTAACGCTCACAGTGATTTTACTAAAGCTCTGTCCAGGCTATAAAATTTAATTTGACCAAAAAAAATGTTGTATGCCCATATATAGTCATGATCATAATGTTATCACATCATGACCATATTTAGGCATATCATGTTTTTGTCAAATAAAATGTGATAGTTTTGAATGTTGTATATTGCTAGAGTTGGAGTCGTCGTACGACGCAGTGAGTGCCCAGCTTTAGTTGAAGAACTATGCATAACTAAATAGTGAGACAGCTCTGAGATACCGTTGGAAAGTCGGTATATAAGATGCAAAATATGGATCATTTCGTGGCTTCGTATGTGACTTCATGTCAAATACATTTTACCATCGGGAAAAAAAATCTATGTACTCTAAAATGGGGGAAGCACGACATTCAACGAAGTAGCAGTAAGAGTGATAAATTTTGTATAATACAGATTCTGTTTTATATGCTCGTAAGCTTGACAAACTAAAATTGTGGAATCTAATAATAATCAGGCAAGAGTCTAATACCTTTTTAAAAGTAGATATTAGTTTGATGAAGGATATTCCCATTGTTAATGAATACTTTCTTTTTACAATTCAAACTAAATATATTTTACTAAAGCTCTGTCCAGGCTATCAAATTTAATTTGACAAAAAAAAAATGTTGTATGCCCATATATAGTCATGATCATAATGTTATCACATCATGACCATATTTAGGCATATCATGTTTTTGTCAAATAAAATTTGATAGTCTTGTATTGCTTAAATGTTGTATATTGCTAATACAATAGGGCCCTTGATATGTTATTTTTGATGTTGAAAAAGAATATAATATTTTATATTAAATATTTTTATCAAGCCTAGAATTAAACATTAACATATTAGTATATCGCCATTACCATGATCATTGTGATCGTACAATTACTCTTGAACACTCTATTCGACTTACACTACCGCGGCCTGTATTTTTTTTTTATATATATAGATCCTTGATCGTAATATAGTAGCTGAAAATAAAAAAATATTAATAAATTAAACTATAGATTTATATCAGATCAACATATTGGCACTTGAATTCGACATGGAATAATGCAACGATGAAAGTACAAAATGGTTTTAATTTAAATATATTTACTTTTAGTTGAAGGACGACGAAAAATACAGAATATAATTACAATGCATTTCAATCAACTTGCCAGCATAAAGATATTCAATCAGGCTCCAGTGATATGTACATCTGATGTAGAAAAAGAATATCATATGTTTTATTGATTAATTTAATTTATCAAACCTAGAATTAACTTGTTAACGTTAGACCTATAGTGTCGGAGGAAGGTGGGACAAATATTGATTCATCTTTGACAGTTACCCATATTACTATATTTCTGTGGCCTATATCACAGTAGGCCTACATAGCCGCGGACGAGAAAAAGATACACAATGAATGAAGCATGGTTCAAATTAGTTAATCATTTGATTCTAATGAAGCTGATGAAATATGGGGCTAGTAAGTATCAGAGTTAATCTTTCCATGATTGAGATTGTAGATCTGGTAATTAAACACGCTACTCTCCCAATTATGGTGAACGTCGTGTCTCTAGAACTTTCCTGTCGGTATACCAGGGATTTCAATCCAGATACGCCCTCAATTAGCGGCACTCTATAAAGCATCTAGAGTCTAGAAAGTTGCAGTAACAAATATAGTACATAACCTATAATATTTCAAATAAAGTTAATGCATAGCACTTGGGGTAAATAATATAAACAAATAGGAAAATAATAGCAATATGGTTTTTCGAAGAATTTCTCATTATTTCACTTAACCATTATTAATCTTTACACGATATGCGAGAGTTATTTTGCCGTTTATCGTGTGTGCGTTTACAATATATCAAGGTCAAAATTTTAGTGACATTTTAGGAAATATAACTTACTGATATATTGTATTTTCAAAACTTTTTAAAAGTTTAATATTTCTGATTTATGATACAAATTGACTATACTATTTATATACAGTACTCTAAGATTTGCATAATAAAAGTTTCCGACCTCTTAGAATAATGTACTGATTGGAGCATTTAATATGCTACGCAAAGGCGGTTAAGATTAAATTTTTACATGTTCAAAACATTTTTTTTTTTTTTTTTTTTTTTAGGTTATTGCATAATACGCAATGTGAATAATACTGAATTTAATGACCTTGGTTTGAAATCATAATCGACTTTGGGATGGGAATTTTCAGATCTAATACCATCTTTAATTATCAGCAATGAAGGTGGTTCGCCTATGTGAATGCTATGTAATTTTTACAGATTCATCATCATCATCATCCTCATCATCAGCAACAGCAGCAGCAGCAGCAGCAGCGTTCGAGGCAACTGCTGGCCGATAGCCTCCCCAAACTTCATTCACGATGACACTAAATAAGCTTCTCAAATTCTTAAATTGTTTGAGATTCCGAGCCTGCACTCCTGGAGCACATTTAAGAGGTTCTGGAAATTGAAGATTCCCCCATTTAATAATTAATATGTTTTATTTATATTGCCCTAAACGTAAATAAAACTAACCCTCTCATTACAATTAAAATTCGTCAAAAATTAACATTCTATCACAACACTTACATTAAAAATGTATAACATCGACCAAAAAAATAAGAATAGTAGTAAAAAGTAGAAACATCGCGCACTTACATTAATAAACAAAAACAAATCGGTCAATTCATGGCACAACCATTTTAAGAGTATTGTCTGTCACTCAAAGCTTCGTCAGATGATCGAATTAGCTCTCTATCGTACCTTTATCTGAGTATCATTAGTGCAAGTATGGAATATAATATTACATCGCAAAACACAAGTATTACCGAAGGGTGGAACTACCTTTTAACAGATTTGAGGGCTAATCTAATCGAGTATACCTAATTTCACCAGGTCATGAATAATGTAGTATAGAAACATGAAAAGTAAAAGCTGTCCTTATCAAGGTATCAAAGTTTACAGTGGCGAATTGAAGTAGATGGGCCCAGAGAAGGATTGTCAAAGATGGACGGTTTATGCTTCCTCAGCTCCACCATGGTTGGGCTGGGGTAAGAAAATTTATGATTGACAATCGAATTTCTATCAAGTCTATATTGACGACGTCCAGCTAAGCTTTTTATAAAAATAATTAACGTAAAGAATTTACAATTTGATACACTGTAAACATATACTCTAGAATAGTAGAAGTCATGAAAATATTCATGAAAAAGAATTAGAAGCGATTAATTACTAGCTTTTTATCGATGAATGGTCAGCTTTATTAACAATTCTCGTGGGAAAAACACGGGAATGATACTAGATGAATGTATACGTTTAATAATTTTATTTATTATTGTTTACCTAGTTATCCCGGGCCCGGGGGCACTTGCCCCGGTTTTCCGGGCCTCTCTGCGCCAATGTCAACACATGCCAGTATAAACACGCAATTATAGGCACACACTTAAAAAGGGCCCCTAGATACGTGTGAATAGGTTGCATTAGGATGTACAAGAAGATATGACTGATAGCTAACTTTGTTACAATGTCATACATTTTAGGTTCTGTTATATTTAAAGGCCGTAGTTTTCGGGGGCACCAGGGATCTGCTTCTCAATCCGGCTGGGCTCTAGGCGGCCCCCGACCCCAATCAATGGGCCCGGGCAGCGAAGATGCTCCGGGGGCCCGCGGCCGCTCTAGGCGGCCCTCTGTGTTGAAGAGGGCCGCCTTAAATCTCTGTGATCAACAGACGCATAAAGTAAGTGTTTATGTATTTTATATATACCGTTAAACCTCGACTACAAGCTCTGGGATTTTTCTTTTATGGATTTTTTTACTGTTGGACTTTCTTCTTTTCGAGATGGGCTTCTTTTCAAGACTACATTTTTAGTCCTTATCCGAGAAGACTTGGTTCTACCAACCAACCATGGGCGAGGAGGTATTGGAACCAGCGTCGATGTTAAGGCGGCAGCAAGCGGCGCCCCTGCCTTACTGCTCGGCCACTCGACTCGCCCAAGAGATTGAGATTAGTATTGCTAAAGAGGGGGGGGGGGGCTTCATTTCGAAACTTGGGCTTCTTCTCCAGATTAATTCCATTAGGCTTCTATTCCAGGTTCTACCTACTTATTTTTTTACATAGATTCTAGATTTGTCAGGTTCAGTTTTAAATGTTTTATTCTAGTAGATTTAAAATGCTACCGTAACCTAGGATCTAAAAGCAATTTGGTCGCACATTTTTAACATTTTTGTAGTTTACGTTTAACATCCAGAAAATTGGGAAATTAAATAATTTTTGTTTGTCTTATTATTGATATAGACACTATGCTTACTTTATAAATATATAGGCGTATTTTATCAGTTACCAGTGAAAATTTTAAGTTTGTTAAACTTAGGATTACGCTCGTTTGTTGTATGTTAGATTTACCTTGTCGAATTGAAAATACTAAAACATATTGTTTGCCTTTCTCACTATCTTTTTATTACTTTTTAAGTTAATACACATATATTTATTATATTATAATTATCAGTATTAGGATATTTAATAGTCCTTCAATGAATAGAAAATGCAATACATATCCCGCGGCCGAACTTGTTGGCGATCGAAACTGTCCTACACCCTTACGGGTAGGCCTACTTAGAAAGGGCAGTTATGCCGAATGTCAATTTTTCGATTTTCACTACCACCTGCATTTAAAAAAAATAAAACCTTGATCGCCATACATGTAGCATGTCAACACCAATAAATATTAATAAATTAAACTATAAAATATATTGGCACTTGTTGTGTAATTTGTTTGTTTATGGTACGACTTGACCTCGACGTGGAATGCACAGATGAAAGTACAAAATGGTTTATTATACCATGGAGGTATAAAATTGTTATACCTCCATGATTATACCGTACGGTATACGTTTATTAGCTGAAAAAACGCATGGGTACGGTATATAAATATATTTACTTTCGATTGAAGGACGACGAAAAATAAATAATATAATTTGCACTGCATTTCAAACAACTTACCAGTATAAAAATGTTCATAAAAGTACTTAAACTATTGTCTACTGCCTTATCGCATCAACTATTTTATATGTTCAACTTTGACTTTAAGTCAAAGTTCTTAATAACTAATAACTCTTATTCTTTTATTACAGGTCGAATATGTCACGAAGGTATATCACATAGGCCCTATCACAGAATATGATGCCTTTAAATTTGTTATTCAAATTTTTTATGGTGGAGTAAATTCCATAATAAACTAAAACAACACTTAATGCCAGTCTCTGGAGAAGAGAAAAAAATAATATGTTGTACTATACAACAGATAAGACACAAAAATGCTGTTTGACGGAAAACTCAAGGACTGTTAATGAGATGCAGATTTTGAACGTTTAAAAACTATTGGAAAAGGTGAAAAAAGTGTGGTTCAGCCAGTCTTTCCACAGTTTTTAAATATTTAAAAAATCTTTCTCGTTAACTGTGATGATATTTAATATTATTCTTGGTAACAACAATTCAAACAAAAACACATCGAGATGTTCATAATATGTATTTAATTTCTTAGATAGGCCTATTCAATAAACGATAATAATTTGTGGTGGTATTCATATTTTACATTTTTTTCCCTTAATTATTATTATATTGTACTTATTAATAAATTGGTGTTTTTTTTTCATATTTTGTTTTCAATTGTAACTGTTTTTAAATGTCGTGAGAAATTCAGCCGCAAAGATGCAAACCGATATCATGAAAAAAGAAAATATGAACCTCTAATTAATACCATAGTGATTATAATCTAATATAGACTAGACATGCATATTTATGTCAATTATCTTAATTATTACAATCGTATTTCAATCCCAGGCACCATGGTGATGAAACAAGCTCTTTCCAAGATTGTGGATATGGCAATTAAGGTGCTTAATTTGTATGCAAAGTCTGAAGGAAAGCGATAGTTGTAACTTGTATCGCGAACGCAGTGTCCTAAGGTGGTGGATAACCTATCTATGTGGTCTAAATACGTTCAAGTTTCATAATTATTTTGTAAACCGTATTAGAGATACCCCATAACATCCTTTTTTACGCTAAGTACAACATCAACAACATCAATTTTAATTAATAATGATAATAGGTTTATTACTACTATTATTTTATTATTGTTATTATTATTATTATTATTATTATTATCATTAAATTAATATTATTATTGAATAATAATAATAATAATAATAAATAATAATAGTAATAATAATAATAATAATTATTATTATTATTATTATTATTATTATTATTATTATTATTATTATTATTATTATTATTATTATTATTATTATTATATCATCATTCTTATGTTGTGTTGTTCCCAAGTAATTAAATTACTGCCTTCAAATTTAAGGGTTCTGTGATTTTATATCTTTAATCTTATGAGACACGGCGTCGGTGGCTTCACTAAAACAGCCAATGAGTAATCCAGCTATTATATCCTGATCGCAATACTTAGTGATATGCAATAATTCAACTGGATTTATGTTTGTTAATTCACTTATATTTGTCTATTTCTAAAATATTGGTAGAATGAAAATATATAAAGCAAGTTACTATAAGATATAAAATATTTTTCAGTAAAATACCTATAACATTAATAAATTAAACACTTGTAAATAATAATATAATATATAATGCACAGATTTAACCCTATTAAATGTTGCATACGTAATATGAAAACATCTAAACAACTTTCATTGTCATATCAATTATATAAAATTTTAAAATGTTTCAGAACAATACATAAAGTAGAAAAGGTAAGTTCGTTAAACTCTTAGTAGCCACTATATCACCGCTGAACCGTAGTTATTCTTCCTAACCCTGGTCTCCGGTTTAATCGCTTGTCTCCTTGGTTTCAGCTAAATCGGTCCCGTGTGCAATATGACATGTGGACTTGTCGGACATACTGCGTCGTACGACCATCGGCCGACGAAACCACTTTGGCTCTCTGAGCTCTTGAATGTGCGACGAGGTCAGTTGATTGGCAGTGGCCGTCTGAGCGGTCGCGCGCTTCGTCGTGGTTGCGATCTATTATGAAAAATGCATCGGCTGACGACCGTCGGCGCGGTGCAGTTTGTGCCTGGCTTTAAAAGAACGCAGTAGGGATACACTATTCGGTAAGGAGCAGGAGATTGTCTCCATGTGTACTGCCAAAATCACCACCAGACGGACCCAACTGGAATTTCTTCCGAGTGGGCTATTCTTGGTGATTTGAAGACTGAACGCTAGTTGCATGCGTGCTATAACTTCTACAGCAACAACATAATAACTCTTTGAAATTTGATTTGAATACCGGTTTTGTTATTGCATAGATCAATGGATTAATTGTTGAGTTGCACCATAGTATGTAATTCACGACCTCCCAAATAGTATTTCCAACACAATCATCACATATTGCTGATATGATCGAAACGATATAAAAAGGAAGTTGGCAGATAAGAAATGCTGCAACTAAAATCGTTAAATTCTTTGCTGCACGTCTGTGCTTCGTCAGTAACCGAGTATTACTCGGTTTTACGCCGTTTTTTGAAGTATATTTGACTTGAGCATTGCTGACTTGACCTCTTGACCGTCGGCGAATATTGATATAAATGACCAGGTTACAGCCGACAATAATACTGAATGGGATGATGAACTCTATAACAAACGAAATCGTGTTGAAAACTACACTATCTATTGCCTCTAATTCGCACTCCTGGCTGTAATCAACCCAGCCCTCGTCTACCCATATTGTCCATTTGAATACTGTTATAGAGAAAAAGGTTGCCACAATCGCCCAACTGGTCCCTATCATGATGCTAACTCGTCCCAAACTCTGAAACCTGAAGTATCTCAATTGCATGGTAACAAGCCAGTAGCGGTCCAACGTAATGCAAGTCATGGCTACAACGGACATATAGCATACGATATAGTCTGTAAAAAGGAAAAACTGACACGCACCCTTGCCGAATGGCCAGTAACCGACTACGACCCATATTGAGTTGAGGGGTAGCGATATACACCCCACAAAAAAGTCTGCTATAGACAGATTAAAAATAAACCAATTATCATATTTCTGTCGGATACTGCTGTCTCTCAAAAAACTGACTATCACCAGCGAATTCCCAAAAATCGTCGCTGCACATACAAAAAACAGGACAATCGAAATGACAATTGCCCACGGCAGCGTAAACGCTAAATTTGAACCCTCTGCATCCTGTGTGAAGTCAGTAACGTTTCTATTTGGCAAACCTGCTGTTGGAGTACCAACGTTAAATAAGGAGCCATTACCATACTGCGTATACATGTCGCTGGTTAAACTTGTCGTGTACATAGTCCACTGTATAACGAGGTATTGTATTCTGCAAATATTACTTCAAAAAAATCGATTGTGCTTCGTAGTTTTAATTTTGTTGTTTTTGTTGCTGGTTGACTAGAAAAAAATATTTTTACATAGCTTACGTCCAAGCCGATAATATGGATACAACGTACAAACTAGTCCTGCTCTTTTTTCACCGGCTACGTTGTGCTAATGGTAGATTTAGTATATCCACTCTGTCGTCTATACTATCGAAGGAACCGTTTGTTATGTCTCATTGCTGTCTTCTTCTTATAACGAACCGGATGCATTATATTGAAAGGTTTTTTTCCCCGAACTGATTTAGTCAATAAATATTCGATTATCTGATACGTGACACTAAATAGGTTCAGTCTATAAATTAATGGTTGCAATGTAATTCCAAGTGGTGGTGTACATTTTCGTGTCTATTTCATCAAGAAAGTATAACATTGTCACGAAAGTTTGATTTGCGCTTGCGCATTATATGTGAAGCCTGGTTTCCTGTCGACGTAAGAAGGCAGATTTACTTACGATTACGTCGTTCTATCCTAAGAAAATGCGATTTGACAGGAAACCGATTACGACTGGTGCGTTGTGAAATCGACGTAACGTAAACTAAAATCGTCGGAAAACAGTTTTGGACAGGAAACCGACGTATTGAATTTTCATGTGATACGTCGATTTTCCACTATTTGACAGGAAACCGCGATTTAGTGATTTTTTGTTGAATGAACTCGCATAAGTTGCGTTGCAAACGATTCTTATGAAAAGTTGACTCCAAGTCAACTTTTTTGACGTCTCTTGAATTTGAACTGCCCTTCTGCTTGGGTCCTGTCGCGATATTGCTGTACTGTACATCCCAACAGTAATAATTCAGAATTAAACAGAGTATTTGTAACAGAATATTTCCTAACAGAATTACATTGTTTACAATACTAATATAGGCCTATTTAGATATTATTGCTCTATATTATGTAATTATCGGTGTCTGTTTTATATTTGTTATGCTTCTTAAGTTAAACGTTTTAGTGTAATTGTAACTTTCAAATCATGTGAGTTCATTTCGACCCATGTAAAGCGCTTTGTCACTTTAAGTTAAAAGCGCTAGTCCATTATTAATATATCATGATTAAAGGTACCATCATGCAAATTGATATCATATCAGTGGCAGATCCATGAATTTGAAATAGTTTGTCCCAGGAAGTCACTTTCACCATAGAGAAAATATATATGCTTTCACTGATGGAGGGTCTTGCCAAGTACATCTACAGGATTTTTAGAAAAACATTTGTGGATTGTGGATGTAACTGTACCCTAACTTTTCACACCTACAGGTAACATGATACACCTTTGGGACAGGTAATGGGCCTTAGCCGTCCCTCTACCAATTCACTACACCTTCTGATGAAACATTAAAATCATTTTTTTCAATGTAGTATTGCGTTCAACATTGTCATCAAATAGTCGTGGCACAGACCTTACGGCCTGAAGAGCCCCTGAGTATATAAATTTATAAAAGTATCAGCACATTAACATAAAATGTCTACTATTTAGACTTTCTGTTTCAAGTAATATCTTCAAATTTCTAAAATAAATGTACTGTAATTAGAATAAGGCGCTATGAACTAATCGCATTACTTTCATTATCCTGCCTATGCCTTTAGGCAAAAATAATGTATACATATTTAGGCTTAAGTGGTAAGTGTTAAAATATAATTAAATAAAATATTTATTTAATTTCACCCCAACATTGTAAATGCTAAGGGAACATAGAGTAAATAAAATGTAAAATCACTATAAAAATTATAAAAATCACAAAAAAATAAATCATTCAAAAATATTAAAGACAAAACACATTCATGATTAAAACAATTTACGGCACAATAGTTAGAATATATACCAGGAACATAAATACAAATTTCAATAATTAAAATACTGTTTCATAGCCAAGTGTATGTATGGTGACTAGTTCTAGAACTTGAGCAAAAAATGAATTAATTCTTCTCCAGTTACTATTTTTAACTACCAATATAATTTGTAACAGAATATTTCCTAACAGAATTACATCAGGAAACTCACAAAAATAATTTGATATTTTAGTTTATGTTTTTGTTTACTTTAGATGAATCATCGGTGATGCAATATTTGTTTGATGTCGCTTTTGCAACAATGGTGCATCCAAAAAAGGAGTGAAATACAAACGAAAAGAAATTATAAACCTAACCGAAAGCAAAAAGTACAACGGATGATGGAAGGCTTGTAAATATATGATAGACATTATTACCGAGATACAAGTTAACTTATTTATGAAGTAAGTATGGATATTTAACGAGATGTTCAAAGGTCTCATGGAACAGGCCTCTCTTACAGTGTGGTTTTTAATAATTAATTATAGACTTTTCCATGAAGTATAGAATTGCTGATCGTAGGAACTCCGTTTTACATCATACCATGTGTTTTGACATCTTTATCAAATTGATTAAATGATTGATTGATTTTATTTAGTACCATTACAGAAAACATACAAAGCAAACAAAAACAGGGAAGACAAGGACATGATACTATTAAGGATGACCTAAGAAAGGTAAAAAAGAAACCTTATTTCCGTTGGTGTCCTTACATTACCAAGCGAGTACAAAACACAGAAGTAAAAAAAAAAACAGCAGGATTCAAAACGGCAAAAACGAACAAAGAGGGGTAAAATGAACTATAAAAACATTGCAAAGAAGTGTCCAAATTCAATTTGAAAGAATGAAACCATAAAAGAGTTCGACAAGTTTAAAATTTTGAAGCTTAAAGATTAAAAGAATTAGACAAGTTAAACATTTTTAAGATTTTATAAATTGAAATGAGTTACAAGTTTAACATTTTTAAGATTAAAATGATAAAAATGTTACCATAAAACAGATTGAGCAAATATATTTACAATCATACTCACACACCCACTCTTTTAAAAATCAAACCTGCCATTGTATTTTGATAGGTCTAATAGACCTTTCCGGAGTGTCAATCAAACTTAACAACTGACTAATCAGAACAGCGATAGGAATACGCGCGCGTCTTACAAACACACGTGTTGTCCCACAAACGCACGTGTTCGCGTATGTTTTAACACTGCCGTCTTGTGGGACCTTAGCAACAAGATCCAAGGGGCGGAGCTTAGCGGAAAGGTCCATTAATTATTACGTCTTAAAGCCAGGCTCCGAAGGGGAAAAAATGTTGATATGTTGTACTGATTTTTCTAAGACACAGAAAGGATGTTTGACGAATGTATCGGGAACGGTTTTGAATTTTTTTTTACACTGGGGGAAATGTCGAAATGAGGTAGTAACGACCTCCTTTTCCCAGTTTTTATATATTCAAAAATCTGTGTCTCATTAACCGTTCCCGAGTTTTTCGTCAAACATTCCTTTTGTGTCTTAAAAAAAAAATCAACATATTATGGCTTTAATAAACTGACCATTTTTACAAGGTATTAAATACGTAATAAATCTTGTGAGTTTAGCTGTAATGCATAATGTAGTAGGCCTATTATTATTCTGAAATAGTTTGATTATATATTTTCTAAGTGCTTTCATATTTTTAAATAATGTTTAATACATTGCTCATGGAAATTGCTTGCCGGGGTAAGTTGATGGGCTCATTCTGAATAAAAGTGTTGCATACATTGTACTTATGTAAGTTGAAGAACCTTGAATAGATGCAGATTTTTCACGAGAAACGAGTGCGTTTGTGTTTACAATACTAATATAGGCCTATTTAGGTATTTAAACGTTTTAGTGTAATTGTAACTTTCAAATCATGTGAGTTCATTTCGACTCATGTAAAGCGCTTTGTCACTTTAAGTTAAAAGCGCTAGTCCATTATTAATATATCATGATTAAAGGTACCATCATGCAAATTGATATCATATCAGTGGCAGATCCATGAATTTGAAATAGTTTGTCGCAGGAAGTCACTTTCACCATAGAGAAAATATCCATGCTTTCACTGATGGAGGGTCTTGCCAAGTACATCTACAGGATTTTTACCAATATAATGCCTTTTTTAATCCAGTCTCAAAGCCATTTCTGAATGTCAGTCTTTTCGGCCTACTTTACATTCTTTTTTCCTTCTATTTTATTTTTATTATGTTCAATAAATAATTGTAAAATATTTATAATGCGTCAATTCCAATTTTGATCAAAGGTGCAGTTTAGTACCGTAACTAAACAAACCTATCTATACCACTTGTATTTTCCATCCAATACTGTTATTTAAGGGGTTATCTGACATTATTATTATACAGTAGGGTTTATTAGTAGTTTTTAATGCGTCCCCCGCCCTTTTGGAAGTAAAAAAAACAAAGCAAAAGAAAAAAATTGATCGCCTAAAACGCCTCAGATGTTGTTTTTGGGTGTCTAGAAAACAAAAATTGCGCGGGGGGATGCCCTGGACCTCTAGAGTGGTGTTGATCAGCCCCCCTTTTGCCTCTCTCCTTTTGGACATCTCTGGATCCACCCCTGGTTAAAAGCACTTTGAGTCGGGATTTTATTGTGGACGACGATATAAAAATTCAAGACTATTGACATATACTCTACCTTATTTCAAATCAAATATGACTATATTAAATTTAGCACGGAGAACAGTAAATGCAATTAAAATTTATCTAATATGATTGTTTGTTGCACAACTTGAAATCATTTGTAAACAAAAACCATAATACGTCACTGGTTTTATGTGCCACTTGCAGTTTTGGTCTTGGTTTTAGAGATTTTAGACATTTTTGGATTTGATCACCCAGCAATAATGCTGATATTGGAGACAAGTGGCATAAGGCCTATGCACTCTCATGCGGCAGTCCGCAGGGCACCCGACCCTTAGGGGCCCCAATGACCACGACCAGCACCCTGACTAAAAAGAGTTTTGTTGATACATAACAGCATAATGTGTGTCTGATAGAAAGTCTCTCCCTGGGCCTCTTCTATTTGATTTTAAGCCTGGATCCGCTACTGATTTATTTCGTCATTAAAGAACATTTAGAACCCAAGTTCTTGGCGACGGGGATCCAAAAATGTCCATTAGTCTGAAAGATTTCGACTACCCTCTAATTATACTG